TAATGGGAAAGAGTAATAAAAGCTTCCCCCTCCTATGACAGCCAATTAGGAAAAGTACTTTTGTAAGTCTTACCATCCTGTTGAAGGTCTTCCTTTCTTTCGCTGACCCTCCACTTTCTAAGCATAATGCCCCTTTCCAAGGACTAGCAACATGCCCAGAGTATGTGAGAGGAAGCTTCACCATCTTTGCCTTTAAGGAGCACCCTGGTTGCACTTTCTCCAAGACATATCTCTTTGTTCTTTTGGTGGTCTGTGACATAGACAGTATTTTTCAGATGTGGTCCAGAGAGGTAAAGTGACTTAGCAAATACCTGCAAATGGCTAAAAAGTGTCTGATACGGTTCATTACATGAAAGGGCAAAATGATAAGAATATACTAAGCCATATATCTGGTGTGCTGCTTGGTTATTATGGGAATAAATACAGAAAGGGGAAATGAATATGGGCTTAAATAGAGGAGCCAGAGAATACCTCCTTGAGGTGGTGGTATTTGAGAAAAATGTGTACGAAGTGACTTCTTGAGTTGGAACCACTCAACAACTGACCCTCTAGTGGGGATTCCTTGGAAGGAGGTCACCCCTCTTTCAGAGCAGTTGGTGGGATCAAACCATGTGCCTGTGGGTTGGCAGCATAACTATTCACTAAGAGGTGAGGGAGCAAGCTAATTCCATCTAGTGAAAGGTATTTGAACGAAAGAGATTTGTATACAAAGGCCTGAGGGTCTCTTTGAGTGCAAGGGTAAGGTAGATCTTGTTCTAAGTAGCTTATTCTGAGGCCAGTGAATAAAGACAAGGGAGGGTTTTTAGTGGCTACCAAGAATGGAGGCTGGAGGATGGAAATGGAGAGTTACCACTAAGGGATAATGAGTGTCTGTTTAGGAGGATGAAAACCATTTGAAATGGATAGTGGTGATGGTTTTCCAAAATAGTGAATGAGGTATTATGGAATTGTGTACTTGATGACAGCTAAAATGGCAATTGCTTTGTTATGTTTTACCACACTGAGAAAGAAAGGCTCGTTCTTCCTGTCCTGTGGAGAATAGTAGAGTAGGAGGGAGAAGACTGCGAGTCTAGGTCTGTCTAGACTCTGGACCACAGATGCTGGTGGTTTGCTCCATGCTCAGGGGAGATGAAGGCTGTGCATGTAGATGTTTAAATTCTGTAGATATTTTATAGATTTGGTCCTTTAAGATTCATGGGTGGCACTAATGTGGGATATTAGGGAAAAGGAGGAATCAGGGAAGATTCCAAGGTTTTGGCCTCAGCAGCTAGAAGGCGGGTATTGTCACAGATTGAGAGGGGGACGCAGGAGGTAGGGAAATCTCACGTGTGAGGGTGAGTCGTATTTAAAACTTGTCAAGTTTGTTATGCTCATTCAGTTTACCAGCAAAGATGCTGTGTGAGATGTTCAATGAGTCTATATACCTCAGGATAGTGGCCTGAGCAGGAGATTGTAGTTGTCAGAGACTCAATGGTATTGAAAGCCATGAAATGGATGAGCATAGGGAGTGAAAAAAGAGAGAGAGATTCCCAAGTCAAAGTCCTGGAGGAAGTGTTAAAACTTTAAAAAAAACACCCAACAAAACAACTAGACTAGGATCTGAGAACCAAAGAAAAAATAGAGAGTTCACAGTGCAGGAAAAATAGATTTGATATAGGAATAAAGAATACATTCACATTAGCTTCAAATTCGTCAAGTTGGGCTGTAGTTAATTTGAATGTTTCTGAAGAACACATTCAAAAAGCAATTAATGAAAATAATAATATAATAAGAATGTTTCACCTTAAGAACAGCAGCTCTTTAGAAAGTACTATAGAGGGGGAAAAGGAAAGTATCATAAAACCATTTTTATTATGTAATGTCTTATTCATTACATGGAAATTACTAAAAACAGACCTGGTAGGACTACTTTTTTGGCAGCATTTTGTAACCAGTTACTTGAGTTAGATGAATGTTAAATGACACCTTCCAAGTCATGGGCATGTTAGAAGTGCTATGATCCTCGAGGAGATGAGGTGACTGTTTAAAATATTCTGCAATTAGAATATTTCAGGAGCTTTTAAACATGAGTTAATACAGCTTTTCCAAGGGGCTGGCTTGCAGGTAAGGAGGGGAAGACTGCTTTTAGTTTAAAAAAAAAAAATAAGAGCAAGCATGTGCTGCCTCTAAAATGCAGTTTACCTGTAGAAAGTTAGGGCAGAAGAACAGGTAAAAGAGAGCAAGAGAAGTAATGATCTGTGATGTTGGGGATTAGTACTGAATATCCCATAGGCTGCCAAAAAACCCCAAAACAGGTATGTCTTTCAGAAGGTGCAGACAGAGGGCTCCTTGGGGTCAAAGATGATGAAGATTCTTATCACACGTTTTGGGCATATTGCTAAGCAAAGTTACTCCTCAGAGAGGGACATCATGCTTGGGAAAGGTGGAGGTACAGAGAAAGAAAAGGAGACCCTCAATGAGGTGGATTGACACAGTGACTTCTGGGTTTCCTGAGAATGGCACAGGACAGGACAGGATTCAGATTTATTCATAGGATCAAAATGAGTCCTACTGGATGACACCTAACAATAACAACAGCAACAACATAAAGATTTGAGAGGGAATATTAGAGTTTTCAAGGTAGATCATATATGTGGACTAAACACTTTAAAGATAGCTAAATTAGATGAGGTATTAGATAAGGAGTACAGTAGATAAGATGAGAAGGAAGAGGTAGTGTAAAAAAGAGTGATTTAGGAAAGAAAATGATTGAAGGAGAGTGGTGACTCACACGAGTTAGACTCAAATTGGAGGAGGTTGTTTTCATGTACCTTCGAGTTGGAACTGACCCATAGTTGACCCTCCAGCTGGTTTTCAGAGGAAGCAGGGAGGAGATTGCCCCTGTTTCTCCCATGGAACAGCCGTTGGATTCAAAGCACATTTCTTTGGGAGGAGAAATAGGAAAGATGGCTATGAAGATAGGCAGGCTGCAGATACAGTTGTAGCTGGCCTAGGGACAGAGAATCATACTTATTCATTCAAGGAAATCATAAACTTATTCCTGGTTCAAACAATCATACATTTATTAAAATACATTTATTATTTCATTGGCTACTATCAAGGATATTTAGCATGCTGCTAGGAACATTCTCTTATCTTCTTTTTTACTGAGTTATTCCTGTAACTGCCTTTCCCTACATAGTTCACATATCACATCATGGCAACTTGTATCAGCAAGTTAAGACAGAGATCTCTTATAAGAGGGGGGAAAACGGTGAAATAGTTGCTTGCTACGATTACTTGCTAAGAGTTATTTAGGACGGCTGTAACAAAAATACCATGAGAGAGTAGCTTTACCGGAAATGAATTTGTTTATGGTCCAGGAGTGTGAAAATCTGAATTCAAGGTGTTGGCTCTCAGGGAAGCTTGCTTGCTTTGCTGGCTCTGCAGGAAGGCTCTCGAGTCTTCTGCGTTTCTGCTCCCCTGTCTTTGTTCTGCCTGCTTAAACTTTTTTATATCGCAAAAGAGCTTGACTGAAGGTACACCCTGTACTCATCCCTCTGATTAATAACCAAGAGAGCTCACTCCCCAGTGGGATTTTAACGACAGTCTTGGCAGTTAGGATCTGCAACACATGTTTCGGAGGGACGTATTTCAAACCAGAATATTCATAACTATTCATTCATTCATTCACTCATATCAAGCTTAAAGGATCTGATGTGAAATTTTGGTCATTTCCTCAGGAAATCCGACTAATTGATTATGAGAAAATGGTGGATCATAGAGGAGTGCGGGTAGTGGCATTTGGACAGTGGGCTGGCGTGGCAGGTAGGTACGCCAGGGCTTTTACCCCACCCACTTTCTAGCTTGGCCTGAGGAATCCCTGTGTGATTCTGGTATTTTCTGTATTGTCGTAAGAGGGAAGTGTTCGTGTCTAGTCCTGAAAATAGGCACAAAAGAGGACTAAGGGTAATAAATTGCAGTAGAATAGAAAGAGGTAAATATTGACAATGTATTTTATTCCAAAAATTGAAAAAGAGAGTGAAAAGGCTAACACCCGTGGAAAGGCCTTGACTTTTTTAGTTGTCTTGCTTGGAAAGCTCAAAGGAGGGCTCAATGTGGTGATGAGACATCACGGAAGAGGCCAGAGAGGGAAGGGACTAAGGAGGTGAGGGACAGGGAGAAACAGTACAGCAGCCTGGACACACAGGAGCCGGAGCTGGGAGAAGACGCCCAATATTGTTGATTCACTTAGCACTTTGCACCTTTTCTTTAATGAGATACATAATAGGCACTTAACAACAACAACAAACAATATAAGAGTCTAATCTGTACAGACAGAAAAAGGTTTGCTTCCAGAAGCTGTAAGGTGATGATTACACCTTTTTTGGTACATCTTATTAATAATATGTACAACTTCTAATGTTAAAATATGTTCTGTAAGTTAATATGCAGTGTTTTCAACTGCCAAAGACATATCAAGATCAGATTTATAAAGATATTTATAATAAAAGAAAAGAATTTGTTTTAAAAGGTATTCAGCTTAGGTAAGAACTGATTTATGATGGAAACGTGAGAATAAGATACTGTCATCTGTCAGGGACTTCTTTTGCACACTTTCCCATGATGCATTTTACCATCTCTAAGTTACTCCTTTAAAAGTTGATTTAAGGAAAGGAAAATGTAGAGAGGCGATGAGGAGGGAGGGTCCTCTTCCTAAAACAATGAAGGAAACGTGGATGATAAAATTTCATTTTGAATCAGAAGGATATCCAGTTTGAGGCATCCCTAAGATAACCAGCTAAGGTTTTCAAATCAAAGGACGAATCTGTTGTTGATTTGTTGAAGATACTGATTCGGAAGTCTTCAACACATAGGTAAGATTTGAAATTTTGGACAGAATGAGATTATTTAGAGAAAAGAAAATGCGGAGAATGTGGAGAATAGGGTCGAGGACAGAATCCTAAGGTTGACTGATGTGTGAGAAAGGCCAAAAAACAGCAAGATAAAAGGCAAGGGCTGGAAAGAGGAGCCTACAGAACGTAGCCCGAAAATGTTCACGTCAAGGACGTTGAGAGAAGACAGTGTTCCAACACAGGTGAGAGTCTACACTGCCAAATACCTCTCACATGTAAGTCAGGATCTGAAAAATGCCCTCTCGACTTAGCCAGGCCACTCAATTTGGGTTGGAGCCTGGGGTCATTGGGTCATTGGTGACGTTGATTTGCTTTTTATTTGTTTTAGGTGTGAGTGAAACTGGAACATATCTAAAGATTGATAAGAACAAGCCAGCAGAAAAGGACAGTGAAGGGAGTAATTTAAGCCTGAATGCCGTGAGAGGGCAGGGAAGGATAGGGTCTGGGGAAAATATTGAGAGACGTGAACCTTAGAGAGGAGAAAGACATGCAGCTGGGTTAGTACACGGGATGACAGAAAATGGAGACATTCAAATGAGGCTACTGCGGCCTCTTCTAAAACTGAGATGCTGGGCTCTCTGATTGCTCCCCAGGCAGGCTGAAGAATAGGCAGCTTTAACTCCTCTCAACTAACGACCTTTCTGTTGGTCTCTGATTCTACAATAGGGATGATCAACATTTTACATGGGATGGGTTTAAGGCTCCTTGCTCTGGGCCACCACACGCCTTTTATGGTGAGCTGTTTCTTTTATCTTTTAAAAATGCATCTTACATTTTGAGAGCAGATGAGTGTCTCAGCTCAGAGACTAACCTCCGTTCCGTGTACTGGCTTCTAGCACATTGGCATGGCTCACAACTATCGCAACAGCAGCCAGGCCGTGCAAGCCGTCCGCGATGCTGGCTACGAAATTTCGTTGGGTTTGATGCCGAAGTCAATAGGGCCCTTGACGTTTGTGTTCACGGGGACTGGTAATGTATCTAAGGTAAATCCCACCTGCCCTTTTCCCCAAAACAGCCTGAGACACTGAGACTTCTCCTTTTCCACAGTGGGCATTTCTGGTTTTATCTTTCTTACCTATGTAATATTCCAATAGTGAAGACCAGAGACCCAAATGTTTTTTGTTTGATTTTAGTTTAGGGTTTGTTTTGTTTTATCTTAATTAGGAAGGAATAAATTATGAGAGTGAAATTTTTTTCTTAGAGTGGTCTTACCTCACCTGATGAGATATTCAATATTTTGAGACTTTTTTCTAGAAGAAGTTTTTTTTTAATTTTTTTTTAACTTTTTATTGTATTATTTTTATGTGTACCGTCAAATCAGATCTGACTGGTACAGGAGGAGATTTCCCCCTCCTTCTCCAGCAGAGCATCTGGTGCTAGAAGAAGTTTTGATAATACAATTATGAAGTTTCTTCCTATGAAAACTGGAACAAATCTGTATTCCATTTTCAGAAGGATTTGAGAATGCGTCTGTGCTCCTTCAGAGAAGCGTGTCATTGTAAAGTAGATCTTTTTTTCAAAGTGAAGAAAATATTTTATTCATAAGGGATCACTGTTTGTGCTACTTTATAAGATAGTCATTGAACATTTTATTTGGAAACACACATAGTTTCTCCACTAAATGACTTTCTGTAATGCAGGCAAAAAGGAGATAGAAGTATTTCACTGTACTATCATTTCTCTACATTCTAGTGGTGAATTGGAGTAACTGAGGTAAAAAGTTCTGCTCCATCCATTTTGTTGTTGCTGTTAGGGGCTGCCGAGTCAGAAGCTACTCATATCTGCCCCTCCAGAGGGTTTTCAGAAGCTGTAAATTGCATGGGAGGAGATTGCTCACCTTTTTTCTATGGAGCAGCTGGTGGATTTGAACCACAGGTCTTTGGTTGGCAGTTGAGCTTCTTAGCACTAGGCTACCAGGGCTATCATCGAGGGCTGTTTAAGCTGGAATGGAAGTGCCTGCCAAATGCAGGTGAAAATGCCCTCCTTGCTCTCCTATTTGCCCTGCTGGTTGTAGGACAGATGGAGCTCTGTAACTGTAGAGAAAATAAAGGCACATTTTAGGAAACAAAGTCAACTCTTTGTCTATTGATGTTTGGATTTTTTTTTTTAACCTGCATATTATTCATAGGGAGCCCAGGAAGTATTCAATGAACTGCCTTGCGAATATGTGGAGCCTCATGAATTAAAGGAAGTTTCCCAAACTGGAGGTATTAGAGGATAGGGGAAGGAGGATGACTCCATATTTTACTGTTTTTAAACCATCTGTGTTATAACGTTTTGTCTCCCCAATTCTTTGTAAGATGTCAGCCACCTTACTAATTTCTTTCTTCTGTGCAAGACCTCAGGAAGGTCTACGGAACGGTGTTAAGTCGCCATCACCATCTTGTCAGGAAAACAGACGGCGTATATGATCCTGTAGAGTATGAAAGACATCCTGAGCGGTACATAAGTCGATTTAACACTGATGTGAGTATCATAGTTGCCGTTGGACTTGGTTGCTCATGTCGCACTGCTGTTAAGAGTGTTTTCGAGGCAAGAGAGGATGACTGACTTGTGTCTTAAGTTTCCCAACATGACTTGTCCTGAGTCCTGCCAGGCCCACCAGTTGGCCTTGGCCTTCGGGGTTCTTGCTCTTGTTGGCGGGGCAGCCTCTGCTAAGTGGTTTTAGTGGTTGCTATGGAGATGCTTTTTTCCCTCTATTGTCTCAATTTCTACTTCAGTTCTGCATGTTTCATAACCCCAAACCATTTCCTGTGGAGTTTTGTCCTTCTGTGTTTATCTTGGACTGGTTAGCACCACTGGCAAAGCACAGTGTCTGTGATTTTGATCTGAAGATTGCTGTATGTGTTCCCTGGCCTTCAGTAGCAATCCTTACCGTAGGCAGCTCTCTTGAAGTCCATGCCATTGGTTATCCAGGAGAGCAAGGTGACATGGTGTCACTGTCTAAGAGCAGTCTCACGGCCCACTGCTGGACAAGTGACTTATGGAACCCCGAACCCTGCTGATGGGCACGCACTGGTGCCATCTTATAGGATGTGCATTCTCTTTCTGTGTGGTTCATGTGACTGACCACTGGACAAGCAACAGCCCTTCCTCAGTCAAAACAATAAACATGAGACAAAGAAAAAAATGCCTACTTATATTGTGACAAGGGATGATTTGAATAATTATAAATATGTATGAGCAGCTAGCAGTGGGATTTAGGTACAAGATTTAGCTGTTACGGCGTGCAAAGCATGTTATTGAGGTGACTGATGTACAGCTAGATAATGTTTGAGAAACAAAAGCTATGAAACCAGGTATAGCTGAAAAATTTTGGATCAAGTCTATTTCCACCCCTTTGCTTCCCCCCCCCAATCACAGAGAGATTAGTGATTGGATGCTTTCTAAATCTTTATAATGACCTAGTTACCATGTATGCCTGTATGTATTTTTCTCCACCAAGCTCACAGATGTTATCTGATTTAATCTTCACAGCCTTCCTTTGAGGAATGGGGTACATATTATCCCCATCTGGCAGGTAAGGAAAACAGAACTCAGAGAAGTAGAGGTAGCATGATTTAGATCATCTCTGCTGGTGACTGAGCTAGACTTAGAGTACTAGGTCATTTGACGCCCTTCTCCTCCTCCTTCGCTATACAATCACAGAATGAAAGTAGTAGTGCTGTATTTATGCTCAAATATCTCTCTGTCTCTGGGTGGTTATTATTTATCTTTGCTTCAAGTGATAGTCAATTGAGCTACGGAATAAAAGGCCCAATAAGAAGTAAAATGCAATGAATTGATATGGTTTTTATGGATAGTTCTCTTTCAGCAGGTGACATTGAAATCAGGTGTTATCTTTGTCTCCATTGAATTCGGAACTTGCTTTTCAGGTCGCTCCCTATACAACATGTTTAATTAATGGAATTTACTGGGAACAAAACACCCCTCGCCTCCTCACCCGACAAGATGCTCAGAGTCTCCTCGCTCCCATCAAGTCCTCTGTTGCTGGAGTTGAAGGCTGTCCTGCACTGCCACACAAGTAAGGACTTAACCCCAATGATGATGGCAGTTTCTGACAGCAACGCCCACCGAGAAGGACTCCGGGAACACAGTGTTCCCACACAGCGTAGCTCCTGACTATTTAGTGACTTGTCGTCCTTATTGAATCTGCTTGGCAGCATTTGATCCCATTAACCATGTCGCTGGGTTGAGTCAAGAAAACACTCCTCTCTTGACTTCTGTGACTCCACATGTAGAAACGTCCCCTCTGCTGCTAGGTTTGGTCTCCGTTTGGGTCTCCACTCCCAGCTCTCTCTATTCCGTTATTCTGGGTTTCCTCCCTCCCCCACCCGAAACGCATCAGCCTTTACTTCTTTAATGACCTTCACGCGTGGGGTCCTTTTAATCTTGGTCCAGCACATTGTGTGGAGCTCTGGTGGTCTAGTGGTAAGAAGCTGCCTACTTGAATGCATATAGTTCGTATCCACCAGCTAGCTGCTCCGAGGGAGAAGGATGGGCAAGCTCTTTCCATGAAATTTACTGCCTCTGAAAACTCACCGGAGGACCAGTTCCTGTTCTATGGCACCCAACAAACAACAACAGTGAACACATTGCATGGCATAGTGTATTTGCCGTGCAATAAAATGTTGAATTAATTACACTAAGTGTTTATGGAATGGCTGGTCTTTCTGGCAACTTTGCTAAGCTGAAGAAGAGAGGAGAAAAGACACCATTGTTCTCTTCACACTCTAGCTGAGGCAAAAAGGCATTCAAATCAAAGATAAGCCAAAGCTGTAAGCCAAGATAGGGACGCTGAGGGAGTGCTTGAGCAATGAATATTAGAATTTATGAAGCGGTGGGAGCAATTTGCTCTATAAAGCTTTACAAGGAGTAAGAAGGGGCTCAGATGAGTGGAGAGGGACAAAATGAAAATTGTAGGTGATAGGATGTGGTGCTTTAGAAAGTATGTAGCCACAAAAGTAAAATTTAATGACAGCTAGGCTACGTGAATTATAATGTTTATGTAAATTTATTGTCATTGAGTTAATTCAGACAGCAATGGAAATGTCCCATAAGGCTGTAATCTTTACTGAAGCAGTCTATTTCTCCCCTAGATGGACTGGTTGGTTTGAACCAGTGACCTTTTGCCTAGCAGCAAAGTGCTTAATTCACTACACTACTACTATACCAAACTGGAGCCAAACATACTGTCACTGAGCTGAATCCAACACACAGTGACCCTTCATTTGGTTTCTCCAACTGTTTATCTTAATGAACATGAACTCTCTAATCGTCTCCCATGCAGCAGCTTGTGTATTTGAACTGCTAGCCTTTTTGAGTAATAGCGTACATGGAATACACTGTGCTACCAAGTCTCCTTGGGGTTTGTATAGGCAACTGGCAATTAGAGATTGGGTGGAAAAAATTTTAGTCAAGCTCTAACGGCTTTAGAATACTTCCCTCATGATCTTATTGATAATTTGTAAGGATTTCTGTGTAGAAATGCAAAATTTTACAGATTAGTCTATAGAGAGTCGCTCTACTAACCAAAAAGCTGCGGCTCTGATGGTTTAATCCAGAGGCGAGTGCCCAGAAGGATGGGAAATCTGGGCCACCTTCAGTCTTAGAAACCCAGTGGAGGTAAACTGTGAGTTGATTCTGACTTGATAGCAATGAGTTTGAGAATTCAAGTTCTAAAGGAAGAGTAAAGTCTTTAGTACGAATCACACCTCAACACCAAGAAAGCCAAAATCCTCCTAAGTGGACCCTTAGGCAATATCATGACAGATGGAGAAAAGATTAAAGCTGCCAAACACTTCATTTTACTTGGGTTCACCATCAACACCCATGGAAACAGAAGTCAAGAAATCAAAAGACTTACTGCATTGGGCAAACATGCTCTTTAAAGCTTCTTTAAAATAAGAAAGAGGAGTTTAAAGACCAAGATGCATCTGACCCAAGTCATGGCATCTCTAATTACTTCCTAGGCGTGTGAATGGAATAAGAGAATTAATGCCTTTGACTCATGGTGCTGACAAAGAATATTGTACATACCCTGCACCGTCAAAAGAACAGCACACCTGTTTGGGAAGAACTGCGTGAAGGTGCTCTTCCGAAGTCGTGGCAGCGAGGCTTTGTCCCACCCACGTAGAACATGTCATCAGGAGGAGCTTGTCCCTAGAGAAGGACTTCGTGGCTGGAAAAGTCAACAAAAAAACCAAGACGACCCTCAAATAAGATAGATTTACCTGATAGGTTAGTTCTGTTATGAGTTAGTTATCGACATGCTAGGGTTGTTATGAGTTAGAGCTGAGGTGACACCTGACAACAGCACGCAGGGTGGAGGTGGGATAATCAGACCTTCATAAGTCACCCATAACTAATTAGTCCTGTCAATGGTTTCTCAAGGGACTTTCCACCTTTTTAAAATTTTATTAATTTTAATGAAAGTTTACAGAGATTTAGACTTTCCATTCATTTGTTGTTGCACTTTTCTCCCTGCCTACTCCTCCCCACTCCAAGTCACTCTTCTTGGAAAGCAAAAGAAAAACTCTTTCATTGTTGTTCAATCCCTCCCCCCAAGTCACTGTGCAGCCTTCATTCTGGACTCCTGTCATGACAATAATACCCAATCATATATCCCTTTTAAACAGTTCTCTCATCTGTTTCAGTGCTGTAGACATCATTCCTTTCCTCCTTCTCTGCCTTCCCTCAACCCCGATGTCATTTATTCACTTATTTTTGTCTAGGGAGAAGAAAACTTAGATTGGAAGGATTCTCTGTAGTTCAGAAGAATACAGTGGTTTGAACAGTGAGCTCTGGGAATAAGGCGACTTTAAAAGCCTGGGAAATGTCTTCCTTCTATAATTAAGAATATCCCTAGGACCTTTCATTTCTTTTTTTTTTTAATTTTTTTTTGGACCTTTCATTTCTATTCAGTTTTAGTCTCTCTGGGAATGGTAGTTCCCAGCTCTCATCCCAGTATTGGCATTGTTTTCAGACTCGTGGCGATATGTGACATTTCAGCCGACACAGGAGGATCTATAGAGTTTATGACCGAGTGTACAACAATAGAGCATCCCTTTTGCATGTACGATGCGGACCAGCATATTATTCATGACAGGTGAGTGGGCTGAGGCTCTTAGAGAGTGGAAGAGGTATAAGAACATTATTTACTTACCGTAGATGTGTCTGAGTTTATAAATATCCCACAAGCGTATGAAGGCTTTGCTAATTTAAGGATAGGTGCTCAAACATGGTGTAAACTTTGGTAGACACCACATGAGATCTCAACACTTGCATATGTAGTGTCTTTACATGGATGTTGGGTTGCTGAATAAAGAAAGCATTTTTATTGGAGAAGTCTAGTCTGTCACGTACTTTGTAAACAATGATACAGGATGGGAAGGCCACTGTGATGGCACAGACATCTAGCAAAGATAGAGCTGAGAACTATGGCTTTGTACATGTGAACACAGCATATTGCTTCTCCTAGTGTGGAAGGCTCTGGAATTCTGATGTGTTCAATTGACAATCTGCCGGCCCAGCTTCCAATTGAGGCAACAGAATACTTTGGAGACATGCTCTACCCTTATGTTGAAGAAATGGTAAGCAGAACGGGGCCATCAGCAACAACTCTGTGGCTGTGAATGGACTTGGGAAGTGATGCCGTGGGCATCCTGGGCTTCTGCGGGTCAGAAATCTGTTGTTAAATGAACTTTCAGCTCTTCCTCAAAGACCCTGCTGACACTTTCTTCTTGTACATACTCCTCTCATCGTCTCATGGGGAATGTGATTAGATTACTGGCGTGTTTAATTACAATGACATTTATCTCTCATGATGCATGTTTTGTGAAGACTGTTCATGACACGTGGGATGGGATTTACTTCCTTTATAATGCTTCCTGCTGTCTAGGTCTGCTCAGATCATGCCATTCTTACTGTGCTGTGATTAACATATTTGAAAATTCAGAAATTGAGAAAATGATATTGGACCAAAGCTTAGTTGAGGATTGTTTATATGGACAGCAATGATTCTTCTTTTGTGATCAGAGATTGACTATTAAATCACAATGTCACTCAAATTCCATTTTTCTCAGTAAGAAGACTCTCATTTTAATATCAATTTAATTTTACTATCACAGAGTCATTGGTAGTGACTCTTGTCCTCCTTATCTGTGACTGCTCTCATGAGCTGCCTGCCACCCTCAAATAGTGCAGCAGTCAGTGGGGCATCGAGAATGAAACGTTCAACCCTTCACCTTCTTTCCTTTCAAATACTACTCCATTTTCAAATTGATTTTTCACCAGAATATGCCAGCGGGAAGATGTAGCAGGCTTTAGGAGATGAACGCAGCAAGGTTATTGTGGTTGAGCACAAGATAACATTGCTCTTACTAATCTTCATGAGAGATCTTTGTAGTGGGTACTATTATTAAACTGATTTCACAGGTTAAGAAACAGAGATGGAGAAGTGAAGGCTGAGAAGGGTTAGAAATCCTGTGTTGTGCATCTAGACTCTGTACTGAGGGACTGAAGTGTGTGAGCAAGAGAGGACACATACCGGCTTTACTGGAGATGTCAACTTGCTTTGTGACTTTTTTTTCCATTTTTTTAAAATTACTTTACTTTAATGAACGTTTACAGAGATTTTGGATTTCCATTCATTCATTGTTGCGTTTTTCTTTCTGCCCAGCCCTCCCCACCCACAGTTCACTCTTCTCTTTGAAAAGTAAAAGAAAAATTCCTTCATTGGTATATAATCCCTCTCCCACCCCCACCCCCTGCAAGTACACTCTACTCTGCAACCTTCATTCTGGACTCTTGTCATAATCATAATACCCAATCATATATCACTTTTAAACTCTTCTCTCCCTCATCTGTTTCAATTCAGTATACATAATTTATCCAATTGTTCTCAGTCTCACCCCAGCCCTGATGTCAGTCACTTTCTACAGCAGTGGCACTATGCAGTGTTTGTCCTTTTGTGACTGAGGTATTTCACTCAGTATAATGTCCTCCAGGCTCACCCATTTTGAATAATGTTACATGAGTTCCTTGTTTTTCAATGCAGTGTAGTATTCCATTATGTGAATATACCACAGCTTCTCTATTCATTCGTTTGTTGATGGCACTTAGGTTGTTTCCAGCTCTTTGCTATTGTGAAAAAAGCTGCAATAAACATGGGTGTGCATATATCTGCCTGCGTGCATGTTTTACTCTTACATAACGTTGGAGAAGGCTTTGACAGTTGATTTCCCAATTGGCAGCATCAGGATGGATGGTGAAGAGATTGAGATTGTTCACAGCTTTAGTTTGCCTGGCTCCACAGTCAACTCTCTTGGCACCAGCAGCCAGGAAATTAAAAGACATACTGCCATGGGAAAGTCAGCTGTGAGGGACCTCTTCAGAGTACTGAAGAGCAGTGGTGTCTCTCTGGAGACTATGGTGCGTCTGACTCAAGCCATGGTCTTTGCTATCACTTGTTATGCATCAGGAAGTTGGACAGTGACTAAGGAGGATAGAAGAAGAATTGATGCCTTTGAGCTGTGGTGCTGGAGAAGAGTATTGAGGGTACTAGGGACCGTTAGGAAAACAAACAGATTTGTCCTGGAAAGGGTTAAACCAGGCTGCTCCTTGGAGGCAAGGATTCTGAGGCTCTGTCTAACATACTTTGGACTTGTTGTAAGGAGGGACCAGTCTTTGGAGAGGGACATCATGCTTGGTAGGGTGGAGGGACAGTGCAGGAGGGGAAGGCCCTCTATGAGGTGGACTGATTCAGTGAGTGAGGTAATCTGGATGGGTGTATCAGAGACAGTGCAATTGGCACAGGACAGAGCAGAGTTTAGGGCTGTTGTACATAGGGTCGCTATGAGTCGCAAGTGACTCAACAGCACATAACAACAACAACAATGTGTATTTGATTTCTTGATGGCGATTACCATGGATGTTGATCATGGTTCCAAGTAAAATGAAATCATTGACCATTTCAATCTCTTCTCCTTTTGTCATTGTGTTGCCTGTTGGTCCAGTGGTGAGACTTTTTGTCTTCTTGATGAGATGTAACTGAGATTGAAGACTAAAGTCTTTGATCTTCTGCAGTAAGTGTTTCAAGTCCCCTTCACTTTCAGGAAGCAAGGTTGTGATAGCCTTCCTCCAATCCTGATTCCACATTCTTTTTCATGCAAGAGTCAAGCTTCTTGAATTATTTGCTCTGAGTATAGTTTGAAGAGTTGTGGAGAAAGGATACAACCCTGATGATCACTTTTCCTGATCTTAAACCAGATGGTATTCCCTTGGTCTGTTTGGATAACAGCTTCTTCAAGTGTCCTGGGATTCCCTTTCTTCTCACCATTATCCATAATTTGTTATGATCCACGTAGTCAAATACCTTTGCATAGTCAATAAAACACAAATAAACATCTTTCATAAATATATGTAAGTTTATCCACATGGTTACCATTTCTCATTATTTTCATTCATTACCCTCTGATGTACTTTTTCTCAGTCTATATACCATCCTTAAATCCTTTTTAATAGAGAATGTTTCCTGACAACAGATTTTGTTAGTTTTTCTTCATCTGAAGGGACATTCTTGAGTGCCGCAGTCCATAGAGAGCGGCGCAGCTAACCCAAGGTTGGTGCCTCGTTAGATGTTCAAATCCACCAGTGGCTCCGTAGGAGAAAGATGGCACTTTCCTTCTCTTTGGAGAAAGATGTCAGGCTTAGAAAAGTAGAAGGTCAGTGAAAGAGAAGAGCCTCACACGATGGATGGACGGTGTCTACAACTTCACAGTTGGCTGGAAGTAAACCAATTAATAACAACAGTAAAACCCACTACCATTACCACCAACAATAACATTAGCAACCACTGACATAAAGAAACCATTCCCAAATTGGATTATATCTGACTGAGCTGCCGAAGTTAGGATTTTGTGTACAAACGTATACCATCCTTGCCTGTAAGAGGCACCCTGATTGTTTACATGTGTACAAGGATTAGTACACAGTTTGTCAGAACACGGTTCAATCCATCACAGGAGGGTTTTTCTGCAGTTACCAGTTTCATCTTTTGCAAATGAGAATTGCATATATAAAATGGTAATGTGTTTACCTACATAAATCATTATTGCAAAGAAATTTAGGCTCTATTGAAAGATAACCAGCGTGAGACGGTGAGTTGGGGGAGTTGTGGCCGATACCAGGTGGTCTTACAGCTTCCTTACCTGCTGCCTAAGCTTCCTTCAACTTTTCATCAGTTTATGGTTGACATTATAATGTTTCTACAGGCAGTAGCCGTGGGATTGATCTGCTTTAGTTGTGTGTGTGCTTTTTTTATTAATTGTAATTTCAAGTTTACAGAGGGAATTGATTTTCCATCTACCCAGTCATACACGTTGTATTTTGACATTGATTGCGGTCCCCACATTGGAACAACACTCTTCTCACCTTCTCCTTATGCCGTCATTTCCATGCATCCTCCAGCCTGCACCTTCCTGCCTTCTGAGCTCCATTCCTGGACAGACGCATCCCATTTGCTGTCATGTGTTTGATATTTTAGGGAGTGCCCCCCTGCTGTTACCATTCTTCTTATAGGTCTGTCTATATTACTTGGCTGTGACTAGAGCTACAGAGGTGAATTTTGTTCCAGATTTTAAGAGCGACAAAGGGTCATAATTTTGGGGTTCTAGAAGTCTCAATGAAGCCTAGACATTTTTATGGTGTTTTTAAAAATTTTTTTTATTTTTATTACCCCCCTCTAATTCTAGCATCTTCTGTGTGATCTCTTTCGTGGTGGTGTGCAGTGTTGATCAGCTACCACCCAGTTCTGGTCTCAGGGTCATAGAGGCCAAAGTTCACGAGAGACTGCATATTTCTATTTGTCATTACTTTTCTTCCCTCTTCTTTGTTGCAGACAGACAACAATCCATACTTGTACCTTTGATAGCTCCTTGCAAGCTTTTAAGAACTTACTCACTACCCATCAGGGTAGAATGATGAACTTGGACTTAATGAGCTATGTTATGCTTGTTGATCTTGATATCTGCCAGACTATGGTCCTGAAGCCCCTGGACCCACAACTCATTCAGTGAGAATTATCTTAGCCCTATCTTTGGCACTAGCCTATTACTAAAGTATTGGGCATCTGGGAAGATGGATGGGAATTGTGAAAGTGCAGTCTTGATATATATGTGCCTGTTTGCCACCAGAAAGCTCAGCATGCAGTCTATATTTTTTTCTGGCCACTTGATGAAAACTGTAATTAGTCTGTGTACATGTCCTGTTTTTTAGGTTCACATTAGTATTTTTTCCCGCTGTACATCTCTGCCGATGCTGTAGTGTTACGGAGCATAGGTGGTCACTTGGCTCCTGCTGATTTGTTTCAGGAGAATTTGGTAAATATTTAGTGTCCTTTGGGACAAGGTATCGATAGGGATGTGGAGCATAAACTCTTACACAAGCATAAGCTCAAAAAGGGCCTGAGCGAAGCACAATCCCTCCGTAAGACGGAATATGACAGGAAGGTGTGAATTCAGCCATGGAGGGAGTGCCATGTCATGGTGTTAAGACCTGGAAACATGGTTTATTAAAGACGTGGCGTTTGAGTTGACTTGTGAAAGATGTGCTGGGTTTGGAATTTGTGTACATATCATGTGAGAAGACATAGCATGTGAGAGGGAGAGCATGTCAAATGAGGAAGCTGACCTAACACACAATTTCTTGTACTTGTCAGGTGTGGCTGAGTAATGCTCAGTTTGTTGGGACCATATCGTGAAAGGTCTTAAGGCCAGGATTAATTCAGTTGGAGAATACTGATTAGCTACCAAAGGTGTTATTTACAAGCCATACCATATGTTTCAGATGCTGGCAGTTTTGTAACGGCTGAACTCTAGTGAGAGAAATAGTTAGGAAGCTGTAATTGAGCAGCTAGCTGTTCTTTCTTTATGTGGACTTAGGGTTGTTGTTGTTATGTCCCGTCGAGTTGCCTGCGACTAATAGAGACCCTGTGTACAACAGCCCCAAACCCTGCTCTGTCCTGTGCCAATCTCACTGTCTCTGACACACCCACTCCCATTACCCCAGTCACTGAATCAATCTGTCCTATCGAGGGTCTTCCTCTCCTGTGCTGTCCCTCCACCCTCCTAAGCATGGCGTCCTTCTCAAAGGACCAGTTCCTTCTTGCAGCATGTCCAAAGTATGTCAGATGAAGCCCCAGAATCCTTGCCTCCAAGGAGCAGGCTGTTCTCCTAGCAGTCCATGATATTTTCAATACTCTTCTCCAGTACCACAGCTCAAAGGCATCAACTCTCCTTCTATCATCCCTAGTCATTGTCCAGCTCGCGGACGCATAGCAAGTAATTGCAGAGACTATGGCCTGGATCGGGCGCACCTTAGTCTGCAGACTGACACTATTGCTCTTCAGTACTTTGGAGAGGTCTCTGACAACAGACTTTCTCAATGCAATTCATCTTTTTATTTCCTGGCTGGTGGTCCCAAGAGTAAGTTAGGGCAGTTGTTCCATTTCCTTGGAAAAAATTCAATTTCATTTAAAATAACTACACAGTATGTAGAGAGTTCTGGTCGTGTAGCGTGCAGGGAGCTGTGCTGTTAACCCAGAGACAGTGCCTCTCTGGTAGCTTGTAGCCGCCTGTGGCTCCACGAGAGAAGCATGGACAGCCTCCTGTGTGATTTACAGTCTCCCAGAAACATGCTGGAGGGTTGGCTAGGAGTTGGTTCTGATTCAAAGGCAATGAGTTTGAATTTTAAAATCGTACATGAATCTATTTATTCTGTGTATCATTTTATTACCATCTTTTCATAGGACAGACATATGAAAAGGTGCTAAGGACAAAGTCTAAATTCAAAAGAGGTTTTTGGTGGTAAATTTTGGTAAGGGCTCTCTAGAAGAGAAAAGCAGTATCTTTTTAGGACAAGGAGGAGTTCTTCTGCTGACCAGCCAGGAAGAGGCAGTTACAGGCAGGGGAGATAGCATGTCAGGCACCCACATGGCATATCTTAGATTCATGTGAAGGCGTGGTTCATGATCTCCGAGCTACCAGAGGACTGAAGTGTTGAGTATAAGGCCAAAAGGAAGGTCAAGGTTAGAGAAGCAGAGCCAGATAATAGAGAGTGCCCTGAAGGCCACATAGGAAGCTAGTCATTTTATCTTGAAGGTGATAAGCTACAGAGTTACTGTAAATAACCACAGGAGAAATAATCAGATTTGTGGTTTTGATGGGAAGTAAATATTTTTCAGAGGTAACTCATGGTTGCTGTGATGCTAAACACTGTGACACTGATATGTCAAATGAGATAATGGTTACCCATGATGGACAGTGTTTGGTGGAGCTCCCCGATTAAAACAAGCTTGGAAGCAGGAGTGGCATCCACTTCCGAAATGGCTTGCCTCTGGAAACTCTTTGAACATGGAGATATGACAAAAGTTATACAAGTGTTCAGGTCTTTCATTCATAGGGTCACTACGAGTCATCTACACCTCGACCGCACTTAACAACAACAGCAACAAATGGACGGAGGAAGAACCTGGATGAGATGGATTGACATAGTAACTAGGGTAATGGGGTGGGAAGGTAGGTGAGGCAGTGAGACTGGCTCAGGATGGGGCAGGGTTTAGAGATACTGTACTTAGGGACCTTATGAGTCGCAGGTGACTACAGGGCACATGGAAGGAAGAGAGGTAGGAGATTCCTTGATACAAAGGAGACCTAAGAAAGACTGAGAATCTAAGCTACAGAACAGGTAGAGGGGATAGATAGTTACGCATTTGGTGGTTTAATCATATGCTTCATCTCAGTATTTGCCAATGGCTTCTGTGTAGGAGGAAGCAAAATCTGGAGAAGGGAAGGTGCTGCTCTACCAGAGTCGCCTAAGCACATTCTGTTCTTTCTCGGTTGGGTGAGTCTTCTAGACTTTAACATATGAGTCGGGAGGGAAGAATGCCCCACCAGCTGATCCTCACCCATCAGGAAGAACAGGTTCCTGACCGTTATCCCCCCACCACCTGTACAAAGCTTGGGTACCCTGGAAAAGGAGAGAACCGCAAAGACCCATGGAGAGACGTGGCTTTGCTATTGGCCACCTGATTCAGTCATTCTTGAGAGACAATATGAAGAGCCTGGATGACTCTTTTGAGGTGTGGGGGTGGATGACTCTTTGAGGGCTAGTTGAGGAAGTTACGTTCTCTGCCGTTTTTGTGGATCCGTCTGTGTATAATGGCCGGGATTGGTCTTTGTGCAGCCTCCTGCCTTCAGGATTGGTGGCCTGCTGTCTGGGCCGCTCATCTTTGGCTTCTGATAGAACAGCTAGAGCCTTTGGAAGGGGTTGGAGACTCTCACAGGGAAGCCGATGGCTATGAACTTGAGCTGTTATTTCTCATCGTGGTATCCCTAAGTGGTGGAAAGACAAGCTTTGTTCTCTAATAAGCAAAAGATGATTGGAATAAAATGTCAGTTTCCAAGTATGAGCTGGTTCTGAACAGCATGTTCTTGGGAGTACAGTTGATTGCTAGCAGAATGCCTTGTTGCCAGTTATTTATATTATGTGATCATAAGAACACCTTCTTTCCCCACATTATTTTTTCCCTTTTGACTAATGTTTTACAATGAATACAAACACAAAGAAGCCACCTTCATAATGACATTTGTCTCTTCCCCCTCTCCTTTTCCTTTCAGATATTATCAGATGCAACGCAGCCTCTAGAAAGTCAGAACTTTTCTCCTGTGGTGCGCGATGTAAGTTAGAGAAAAAAATTCCTTGTGAGGAGTTCAGTTCCCCCCCACCAATGTCCTCACTGTCTCCCTGCCCTTCCGTGTGCTGTCTGCTTACGTCCCTCTCCTGTGTCCACCATTCTGTCTCTTATCAGTTTATGACCCTGTGTTTGTTGGATTAAACTGTGAATACTAAAGAAATGTCTTGTGTCATATGCATTTAGGCAGTAATCACTTCCAATGGTGCATTGCCTGATAAGTATAAATATATTCAGAAACTCCGAGAGAGCAGGTCAGTATTATTCAACTCTTCTCTTTCTGTGCATTTGTTTTTGTCTTGGATTTGAAAAGCTTCCTTGGTGGAAGAGGGCTTCGTCAGTTCTTGCTGTTAAATTGATGCGTCATGAACACATTGTTAATGTGGAGCTAAATTTCTAGCCATTAGAAAACCAAAAGAGAGTGGTTAAAACTCATGGGAGTCTTTGCTCCTTCAACAGCTGTACATGTGCGTTGCAGATAGAAGGGAGGCAGGAAACATTTGCACGTGTATTTTTATCTATGAATTTCTAATGAAGGAACAGTGTCATGACCTGAAGATTCTGACAATAGAGTCTGGCTAAGCCCTTGGCTCTAGGTCATTTCTCTAGTTACATATTGGTAAGATAACTGGTATGTGATTCAAAAGAGAACCATGAATATTCAGGGGAGCCCAGGTGGGATAGTGACGTGCAGGTAAGACTGGTGACTGAAAGATCGGCAGTTTGAAGCCACCCTTCGCTCAGTGGGAGACAGCCGGGCAGTGTCCTCCCAGGAGGATGTGCACCTATAGAAAGTTGATAAAGGGTCGTTGTGAGTTGGACTAAAACACAGTAGGTTTGGTTTTGTGTAAAACATTCTGGACATTGACAGGCTTATAAAAACAGATGAGGCTTAATGCCAGTTTCATAGTTTATGAGAAAAACAATTTTCTGTCAGGAAGGTGCAAGATCTGAAAACCAGTGCACTCAAGTCGGCCATTACTGTTGATTCAGGACCAACTCACAGCTGACCCTTTGGGATTTCTGAGGCCGTAAATCATATGAGAGAAGATTGTTCATCTTTCCTCGTAGAACCGCTTGGTGGAGGCAGACTGCCAGAGAGGTGCAGCCTTTAGATTAAGCACAAGTCACCACTGACAAGGCCACCAGAGCACAACAGCTAGTCAAGAGCAAATCCTGCCTAGTGTTACTATCTGGTGGCTTAGTGGTACGGAGTTGTGCTACCAACCCAAAGGCACACAGTTCAAATCCATACAGCTGTTTCGCAGAAGAAATATGAGCAGTCTCCTTCTATGCAATTTACTACCTCTGAAAACCCACTGGAGGGTCAACGATGAGTTGGTTCCTACTTAACAGTACCCAACAACAACAACAACAACAACAACAACAACAACATTAGTATCAAGGGGCTCTGGTGGCAAATCCATGGTGAGTGCACTGCTGACCCACAGGCTGCGCCTCTCCAGGAGTTCAAATCTACCAGGAGCTTTGAGGGAGAGAGATGGACCATCGCCTGTTGAGATTTACAGCCTCAGAGTCTCAATCGAGGGTCACCACATGTTGGAACCAACTTGATGGCAGTGAATCTTTGTTTTGTTTTCTTTTTTGAGTGTTCCTATCAAGATTGTTACATTTCCTTTAGAGCATTAGTGAATTCAAAGTTATGGTTACAACTGTTCTTTTGAGATACTGACGGTAAATGAGAGGACAGTCCCCCCTGAGGATAATATTCATCCTCTCAGCAGGTGATTATGAGGAATAAGTCCGGTTCTGACGCAAAGGTCCTAGCATCATCTCTGAAGGATAAGGTGTGAGGCGAAACTCATCAGTTTTGCATGAGCCAAGCAGTGGTCCAGCCTATGCACGCACTAGTGGAATTGGAAATTCATGCAAGTCTGTGGTCATACATCTCAGAGATGTTGAGTCTGGGGTTCATCATACAAATATAGCAATTATCAATGAAGCAATTATTAATTAACTAATTAATAATTAATTAAGTTAGGGAATACCTGTTGAGGTTCTTATAAATAGCAATGTGGGTAAAAATAATAACATCAATGTTAAGGCTTTAATTTTGTTTCTAGGGGAGCAAGATTCCGTTATTTTAAAAAATGTTAAATAGCACACTGCTCTTGTTTTATAGGGAACGTGCACATTCACTTTCAACAAGAACCAAGAAGAAGGTGTTGGTTCTTGGAACAGGTTATGTGTCAGAGCCGGTCCTGGAGTACCTGCTGAGAGATGACAGCATAGAAATCACAGTAGGTAAATAAGCCCAGCTTTTAGAAGAAGACAGAAAACCAAATCAATCAATAAACAACAGCAAATGCCATTGATTTCATATTGTAGGAATTTCACATGATGATTTAGTTCTTAAATTTCCAAAATTAATTTTGGAGATGTTAAGATGGATTTTACCATTTGACTAGTGGGTGAAAATCTAAATGATTTTTTAAATTCTTAAACCAGGCTCTGACATAAAGGGTCAGATTGATCGGTTAGAAAAGAAGTATGCCGTTGATCCCGTTTGCATGGATATCAGTAAACAGCAGGAGAAGCTGGGCTCCTTGGTGGCAGCACAAGACCTTGTCATCAGGTAGGTGGCTGTCACTAGTAACTCCATGGCAGTATGGGTTTTGATTTAACTGTGACAAGGTGAACTTCCTTTTATAGTCAACAGGGAGTCAGTGGTCAGTCCTACGAGATTAATTTCATCAGAGCAGTGCCTTAGGACCCGGCTTCAGTACTAGTTGAAGTAGCCTGGAAGGTAGGCTAGAAAAGAAAATCGCTGATTAACTCTTTCCTTTGTTGAAGCTTGTTGCCCTATGTCTTGCATCCTCTTGTGGCCAAGGCGTGCATTACAAGCAAAGTTAACATGGTCACTGCCAGCTATATCACTCCAGCCCTGAAGGAGCTGGAAAAGAGGTACGTTCCAGTCTTTTTCAACCAAACAACGAGACCCGTGGTATTGGTTGGGTTTTTTTTTTAAATAATTTTAATGAACATTTACAGAGAATTTGGATTTCCATTCATTCATTGCTGCACTTCTCTCCCTGCCCAGCCCTCCCCCCCCTCCCCCCAGTTCGCTCCTCTCTTTCAAAAGTAAAAGAAGCACTCGCTCCCTGGTACACAATCCCCCCGCACCCCTCCCACCGCCCCAAGTACATTCCACTATGCAACCTTAATTGTGGACTCTTGTGATAACCATAATACCCTATCATACATCACTTTTAAATTATTCTCTCCCTCATCTGTTTCAGTGCAGTATACACAATTTATCCAGTTTTTCTCAGTCTTACCCCAACCCTGATATCAGTCCCACTTCACAGCAGTGGCACCAGGCAATATTTGTCCTTTTGCAGCTGAGATATTTCACTCAGCATAATGTCCTCCAGGCTCACCCATTTTGAATAATATTGCATGAGTTCCTTGTTTTTCAATGCAGCATAGTATTCCATTGTGTGAATATACCACAGCTTCTCTACCCATTCGTTTATTGATGGGCACCTGGGTTGTTTCCAACTCCTTGCTATTGTGAACAGAGCTGCAATAAACATGGGTGTGCAGGTTGGGGTTTTTTTAAAAAAATTTTTAATTAATGATTTTATATATAATTTTTTATTTTTTTACAGCATATTCTTTCTATTTAATTCCCCCCCAATTCATTCATTGTTGCACATTTTCCTCCCTGCCCACCCCTCCTCCCTCCCTCGAGTCCACAGGCCACTTAACTATGCAATTTATTTTCTGTAATCTTGTCATTAAAATAATACATAATCCTATATTCCTTTTAAACAGTTCTCTCCCTCATCTGTTTCAGTGCCATAGGCATTATTTATCCCCTCTTCTCTTAGGTTCCCTCCAACCCTGATACCAGTCCCATTTTACAACAGTGGCACTATGCAGTATTTGTCCTTTTGTGACTGAGATATTTCACCCAGCGTTAAGTATTGTTTTATTTATATACAACTGTTCTTCCCTCATCTTTTCAACTGAGGCAGCGTGGAAGATGCTGGCATCACAGTCATTGGAGAATTGGGATTGGACCCCGGCCTCGATCATATGCTGGCAATGGAAACGATAGATAAGGCCAAAGAAGTCGGAGCCACGGTGAGCCTAGTTTACACCTGAAGGTCCATCTCAGAAAATGTTAAGTGTTTCTAGTTCTAAAAGATATGAAATAATCTTTGACTAGAAATTTCAGATAAAAATTCTATGATTACATAAATCCCTATAGTAAACTACATATTCAAGTCTTAGCTAGTAACCCCTTTTTATTTCCTTTGGATTAATTCCTAGGGCCATTGGAGATTTTGTAATGAGATTTAATGTTAAAAGTGGGCATACACCTTTTTAATATCATCAACCCATTGGACTACAAAGTATCTTTTGTAAAGAAGACATTGTTTGATATTATGAACTTGATGAGTTAGATAATATATTTTAATTTCTTTGAAATTTTATGATTTGACTACAAAAGTCCATAGGCAATGATCATGCAGAATTTATCTGTTGGATTCTAACTGAAAAAAAACCAAAAAAACTCAACTCAATCTCTAGAAGCCTGAAATAAATATCTATTAAAGTATATGTGTATTTACTCAAAAGTGCATTAATACAATATTATATATTGTACATTTATATTCTGTTGTGACTTCATCAAATGGTGTATAGAGAGGTCTTTTTGAAAGCCTTAAGAAATGTAAGAGAAAATGCAATAATGAATGAATAGTAATCCAAAATCTTTGTAAATGTTCCTTAAAATGAATAAAATTAAATTTAAAAACAAAACAAAACAGACCAAAAAAAAAAAAAAAGGAAATGTAAGAGAGGAAAAACTGGTGTGTTTACTTCTTTCTTGTTCTTGTGCTCATAATTGATTACTGGCTGTGTTCTTCCTAACCTACTCTGGTTTTTTAATTTGTAGATTGAATCTTATGTTTCCTACTGTGGTGGACTGCCAGCCCCTGAGCATTCAAACAATCCTCTGAGATACAAGTTCAGCTGGAGTCCAGTGGGTGTTCTGATGAACATCATGCAGCCCGCCACCTATCTGCTCAACGGAAAGGTGAAAGACCGTCCTTAATGCTCTTGGGATCTAACCTACAGTGACTGCTGAGAAAGTGCAGATTCTTTGTTGGAAACCACAGCCCTTTCATGGATTTTGTGCCTGTCCCCCAGTTACTTCACCTCCACTATTTCCTAATACCTACTTTCTCTTCCATTTAGAAGGATTCTCACCATTCAGCAAAGTCTATATTCTTTCTTGCCTCTTTGCCCTCTTGTCAATTTTTTCTTCAAGGTGAAAGTCACTTCTTAATCAGGAAAATGCTATAGAGAGATTCTACTCTGTCACATATGAGGTGCTCATGAATAGGAATCCACTTGATGGCAACTAACAACAACATTTCAGTGACGCTTCCAGACTAAGACTGGTCATTCACCTTCCAAATAGCGGGTCCTTGATGATCTAGGAAGAGCAGTGGGTCTGTTAGAGTGCTGGAAAATGAAGCCATCAGGTGGGGAGGTCCTGGAGAAGAGCCGCCAACTCAGAGTAGAGTCTGCCTTGAGGACATTGATAAAATAAAACTTATATCCAATTAAGGATCTTCTTCTGCTGATGTGGAAAGACAGAAAATGAGAAAACACAGCTACAAACAGCCATTAATAATTGGAATGTGGAATTGCACAGAGTTTCAATCTAGGAAAATTGGAAGTTATAAAAAAATGAAATGGATTGCTTGAAGATAGAGATCATTAGTGAACTGCCATACACTGATAGTAGCTATTTTGTATTAGAAAATCATATGATCTTCTATGCTGGGAAAGACAAATCGAAGAGGAATGGTATTACATTTATCAAAAAGAAGGGTATTTAAAGATGTGAAATACAGTGCTGCCAGTGTAGAACAATATCCATACACATACAAGGAAAACCTGCTAATACAACCATGATTCACATATTTGTACCAACCACTAAAACTAAACATGAAGAAATTAAGGGTTTCTATAGAATTTTGCTGTCTGAAATTGACTAACCCTGCAATCAGGGTGCATTACTAGTAACTGGTGACTAGAATGCGAAAGTGGAAGCAAAGAGGGTTGGTGGTTAGAAAATAGGACGTTGGTTACAGAAATGAGGCTGGAGATCACATACAGAATTTTGTACAATCAGTAATTTACTCATTGCTAATACTTCCCCCCCCCCAAAATGGAACTGGTGACTATGGACCTCAGATAATGGAACACAGCAATCAAATTGACTATATCTGTGGAAACAGTGGAAAAGCTCAAATCCATCAGTCAGAACAAAACCAGGGGCTTGGTGACTGTAACAGATCACAAATTGCTTATATTCAAGTTTAAACTGAAGCAGAAAAAAAAATTAAAACAAGTCCACAGGAGCCAAAATATGACCCTGAATCTGTCTCACATGAATTAAAAAAAAATAAAAATCTTGAATAGATTTGATGCAATGAGCACTGAGGACCAAAGACCTACCAGTTAGGGATGGCATCATCCATAAAGAAATGTAAAGGTCATTAAAAAGACAGGAAAGATAAAAATGGCCAGAGTGGTGTCAGAAGAGACCCTGAAATGGACTTTCAGATTCAGAGAAGCTAAGGCAAAATAAAATAAATAATAAAATTTAAAAGTGAAACAGATTTGAAAGCGCAGCTGAAGGGAAAAAGGTTGTCATTTAGTGACTCTGCAAAAGCACTAGTCTGTGTAGATCATTGTGAGTGATGGTTGAGAATGAGGATCCTACAGCATTTAATTGTGATCATGAAGAACTTGTAATGAACCTGTTGCAGTCATTTGAATGGAGCACAAGGATACTGGATCATTTGAAATAAGAAAAGGTCAAGGGTATATACTTTCACTATACCTATTAGGTGATATGTCACTATACCTATTAGGTGATATGTATGCTGAGCCAATCATTTGAGAAACTGACTCCTTGAAGACAAGTGTGGCATTGGGTTTGGATGAGGGAATTCATCAAGAGTGGGCAATATGCAGATAACACATCCTTGATTGTGGAAAGTGAAGAGGATTGAAAGGCTTTGTTGTAGAAGGTCAGCTACAGCTGCCAGGATGGATCTTCAAAACACCCTTTGCCATTGACTTGGAACCGACTCATAACTTCCACACTGGTGGGTTTCCTAAGATGTAAACTGCACTGGAGGAGACTGCCCCTCTTTCTCCTGCAGAGTTCCCGGTAGATTCAAGCTGCTGGAGAGGTGTTTTGGTGAGCAGTGCTTCCATTTGATTACACCAGAAATCTTCCCAACTGGACCAATAGGAACATCATGATATATGGGAACAGATTGACATGGTCAAAGATTTCACTCTACTTGGATAGTCAGTACTCATGGCTACAGCTGTCAAGAAAGCAAACAAGTTTTTTAAGAATTTGTTCTTAAAAACAATGTATTTGAAATTTGTAAATTAGCTAATTAATCCTTTTTGTTAAGTGCTGTTGAGTTATAGGCGACTCATAGTGACCTGTGAACGAAAGTCCTCAACACTTGTGTGACTTTCATTCTTTCTCCAGGTTCATGGGGTTTCCAGAGGCAAGCTATTTCAGAAGTGGATGCCACCCCTCCTTCCAAGCGTGTTTTAATCAGGGAACTCCACCAAACACTGTCCACCATGGGTGACCATTAAGGCATTTGACACATCGGTGCCACAGAGTTGAGCTCCCCAGCAATCACTAGTTACCTCTGTGTGGCACGTGGACACACCAAGGCAGAAAAAAAAAACCCAAAAAACAAACAAACAAACAAAAAAAACCTAACAACAAAAGCAAACAAGGTATTGCATTAAGCAAATCTACTGCCAAGAACTTCTTTAAAATGCTAAAGAGCAAGGATGTCAGCTTAAAGGCTAAGGTGCACATGATATTTTCACTTGTTTCATATGGTGGTGAGAGTTGGACAATGAAGAAGGAAGACAGAAGAATTGAGGCCTTTGTGATGTAGACAAAGAATATGGAATGTACTATGGACTGCCAAATGAATAAATAAATCTGTGTTAGAGGAAGTGTAACCAGAGTGCTCTTTAGAAGCAGAAATTGGGAGACTTTATAATATACTTTGGACATGTTGTCAGAAGGCACTATCCTTGGAAAAGGACGTCATTCTTGGAATGGTGGAGGGCCGGTGAAGGAGAAGACGAGGATGAAATGGATTGACATAATGACTGTAACAGTGGGTTCAAGCTCAGAAGAAATTGTGAAGATGGTCAAGGGTGAAGCAAGATTTTGATATGATGTAAGTAGGGCCACTGTGAGTCGGACCTGATCCAACTGTACCTAAGAAAAGCAATCACACATAACCTGTCATCTTTCAATTTATTCATTTGTTCTTGACAAACATTTACTGAGCACTGGACGTTGAGCAAGGCCCCCAAGCTTGCAGCACTGAGTGAAATTCCAGACTTCAGGGAACTCACAGCTGGATAGTGGACAGCTCATACAATGAAGGCTTTGGCGGCCAGGGAATTAAAGTAAAATTTCTTAACTGCTCATATCCAGTTCCTTGCTGTATCGCAGAGTAACAGGTTTCTGGGGTTAGTAATAGTTCCAGCATTTGCAGTGAGGAGACTCTGGCACACAGAGAATGTCTGAGGTCACTGATCTGGCTTCAAAGCCAGGTCTAAGTCACCCCGACCCTTTTGTCATGCCGTTGATTCTGACTCTGAGAATAGAACTGTCTTCTCAAGTTTCCAAAGCTGTACATCTGAACAGAAGTAAACAGCCTCATCTTTCTCTTGCTGGAACCACTGGTGGACTTCAACTACCGACCTTTTGGCTAGTTAATGACCGCACCACTAGGACTCCTTACATAATCCCCTAAACATTTCTTTCCCCGAAGATGGGAAGACTGCAACTGCCAGATTATTCCATGGCAGGAAACAGACGCTGGGCTAAATGGTCCTAATCCAATGGGAGAAATTCCAGAACATATGTAAGGGCCAGAGACAACAGAGGAGGAGTTAGGGAAAGGAACATAAATAGAAAAGAGGAGATAATCTGGCCCTTACTGATAAGAGGGTGCGAAGTCAGGTGGGGACACAGCCTTTTGTGAGCATGGCATTGCTGAGGACAGCAGCCTGAGTTACCTAGAGCTGCTATCACAAAACATGAGGGAGCGGCATTTACAAGCTTGGATTTATTATCTCATTGTTTTGAGGGCTAGAAGGCCAAATTCAAGCTACTGGCAGAACAAGACCTTTAAGTATTGGCTCTAAGGTAAGATCCTTGGCTCTTTGAGATCTTGTAGCCTTGGATGGTTTTTGGCCTCTCTTTGTTTGTAGCTGTGTCTTCAGTCAGAGCTTCATCCCCTTTCTGTATGTATCTCTTTTTTCTCCTTCTCAAAGCCTTTACCCTGAAGGGATTAGATTTAGCTTTCACCGGTGTGACTTTATTTTAACATAAGGAAAAAATCCTATTCCCAGACAGGGTCATATTTATAAGTACAGAACTTTTAACTTTTTGGAGGGAAACAAGTATAATAATGCTAAACCTTGATTTAATGAACAAACAGATATGTGTTGGAGAGAGTGCAACCAGATTGATGGAGTTTTGTCTCATATCCTGGACAAGCTGTTAGGAGAGGTTATTCTTTGGAAAAAGATATTACTCTTGAAAAGTGGAGGGTAGTGTAGGAAGGCTCTCAATGAGACAGATTGATAGAGTGTCTGTGACAGTGGGCTCAGGTGTGTCGGAGATGATAAGGATGGCTTAGGATAGGGCAGAGTCAGATCTGTCGTTCCAGGGGTTGCGACGCCTTATTCAACCCAACAGCACTTAATAATAAGAACAATCAAGGTAGACAGCAGCAGTTTACAAGGTAGACAAGTGGTTTAGGAAGCAGCATAAACTCACCGGCGTTAAAGAACAAGTGACAAAACCGGTGTCTAAGTCACATCTATTTGATTTCATAGCTCACGCTCTTAAATACCTCCCTTCATAAGAAAGAAAAAAAAAATACAACCCCAAACCCAGAACCAAGTAATTCCCACTGAGTGGGTTCTGACCCATGGCAGCCCTAAAGAAAAACTCTTCTTTGGGAAGTAGAATGACTAGACTGAGCATTGAAAATATCTATGAGAGGATAAGTCCACCTTTAAAAATATTCTGGCAACCATATTTTAAATTCTCAGTGTATCTGGAAATCTAAATTCAAAATCATCGTCAGAGTTAAAGGAGCCCTGATGGGGCTTATGTGCTGGGCTGCTAACTGAAAGGTTGTGTGTTCAGCACCACCAGGAGCAAGGTGACGCAGTCTGCTCCTGATAAGGTTGGAAATCTTGGAAACCTGATGGCAGGTCACCATATGTCAGAACTGATGTGACAGCAGGGAGTTTTGTTGAAGACTAAAGTACAGTACAAAAATTTCCTAAGAAACAAAGCAGGTGCCATTGTCAGCCTTTGTGCCTGAGATTCAGAGAGCGGCTCCCAGTCTTGGCCGCACACTGAGATTGCGAGCGACGTTTGAAAAATATCAGTGCTGAGCTCCAACCCCAGACAGTGGGATGCGAATGGTCTGGGCTTTGAACACTCTGCAGGTGATTCTAAAGTGCATCTGAGCAGAAGGGCCACCAATTTAGTGACACGCAGGGCACTGCAGGGGGCTGCTGGGAAGGTGCCTTCCCAGGATTCTGGATATGAAACAGCATTTCCTAGTTCTGGTCCCAGCTCTGCAGCCTTCTACTGTCACGGAAGATCAGGCAGTTGCTAAGTGACTTCTCCTGTGAAGCAAACACAAATGTTCCAGCATTTCTTTAATTTGACTCGAGGGTTTGGGCCGGACACTTGGTCCTTAGCACGTCCTCTTGGGTTGCTGCAGGCTGGCTCCTGTTGCCTGTGTCTCGGAGCTTCTGTGACCTCCTTCAGTCTGGGAGAGAGACCAGCCTCGCCTGTGTCTAGTATATGCAGGCAGGTAAAATGCTTGCTTCAAAGCAAGGTACTTGTTTTCAGGAGCAGAGTGTGAAAAAAAAGCATTGCAACAGAACAAGCGGGGGATTTGAGGCCAGTGGGCCTGGCTTTGTGCTCCAGAAAGGCTGTTACTGGCTAGATGGGACAAGAACAGTCATTTCACCCCTCTGAGCTTTGGGTTCCTTGTCTCAAGGCACAGGTGACACCAGCCTGACAGGGTTCATGTTTTGGGGCTTCATGGGATCTCTTAGGTTACAACCTGCCCCTAACGTGTTGTGTACCTCACAAGCTTCCAGCAAATATGAGTGACTTACTGAAATGGAGAATGGTGGAAAGATCTGAAGAAAAGCAAGAGGTTCTTTTTAGGTAACAGAAGTTGTGGTGGTTGTGTTTGAAGTCTCTCCCTTTCATCCCAAACTCCTTTTGTAAAAGGAGCTCTTTCCACATCTCTCTTGTCATCGTGATGAAACCAAGACAAAAGCCAGTGCTTTGTTTGCTTTGCTTGGCTGTTACTTTTCTCAAGGTCCTGTTCAAGTTTCCTCTTGTGCTCAGAGCCTTTCCTGACCACTTCGGCCCCCACACATCATTCTTTTCTCTGCACTCCCACGTTTGGATTGCCTGTGTCTAAGCAGTTTCCGGGTGGCTGTGTTATTCACTGAGCGATTCAAGTGCATCGGTCTGTCTCATAGGCAAATTGTTAAACTTTTGGAAATGGCTCTTGTTCTCTTGTACCTCCACCCTGCTTCCCACCGTTGCCCTCTACTAAGGGGGAGGACTGACATAATTTACACGCTCAGAAAGGGAAGCAGCTTGGTTTTTTCTTCAAGTGGAAGGAAGGCTTAAACTTTTCCAGGAATAAGAGACCAGTGATTTAGGGCATGGCTTCTGTTCCTCTATCTTTGCAGTGATTTCCAACTGTTGATATGAACTATAAGGATCCCCCATCGCACAGTGATTAGTTGTTAACGTGGTCAAGGGTTTGAATTCACTGGCCACTTTTTTTTTGTCAAATAACAGTTTTGTGTTAAATATGTAAAAGAAGCAAATGCAACATGAAGAAGGCCAAGCCCAACCTCCACCAATTTTACATGGAGAACTGTCCCCATCAATAATATACAATATATTAAACAGATCCCTTGGTGAGACACGATCCCCCATATTGCTGCACATATTTCTTCTAATCAATGAGTCTGATATTTATTGCAAAATTTGTGGGGTTTATTAAGGAAATAGGTTGGGGAGTGTCAGGAGAAGGCAAAGGATATTACGCCATGTAAATCCAGGGTCAGCAGAACAAATAAACCTCTAGTTGCCTCAGTTGTCCAGCAAGCCTTGCCTCACAGCATTCCTAAGTCAGCTCTTCCGACTGCTCTCTGGTCACTTTGTAAGACAAAGCTGCGTGTGGCTGGCTGCTTCTGGAAGGATTCACAGCTTTGGAAACCTTGAGGCAGTGCTCTGTCCTGAAGGATCACCTCTAGTGAAAATCAATGCTATGACAGTACATTTAGCTTGGTTGGTACTAGCGTAGCGGCACTATGATGAAGGCATTTGACTTCTAACCAAAAGGCTTGAAACCACAGGCTGCTCTCTGGGAGAAAGAGGTGGTGATGTGCTTCCGTAAAGGTTTTCAGCCTTGGAAACCCTACAGGGTAGTTCTGCTCTGTCCTACAGGGTGGCTTTGAGTCAAATAGATTTGATGGCATTGATCTTTATTAGTGTGTGAGTGTGTGTTCTGTCAAATCAGATCTGACTGGTCAGGAGGAGATTGTCCCTCCTTCTCCAGCAGAGCATCTGGTGGATTTGAACCACGCACCTCTGGGTTTGCAGTGCAGCTTCTTGCCGATGGCAGTGATTTTTAAAATGTTTTTTTTAAAAAAAATGTTTTTGCTATTGTTTGTTCCAACCTCAAAGCTGATTTCTAACAATTTTCTCTTCCACATCTTTTGAAGAAAAAAATTTTGTCTTCTCTGTGTTCTGTTCCCTCTGTTTTTGTTATGTGCCATCCGGTTGGAACCAACCCATAACTGACCTTCCAGTGGGTTCTCAGAGGCTGCACCCCACATGGGAGGAGGTTGCCTATCTCTCCCATGGAGCAGCTGGTAGATTTGAGCTGGTTTCTTTTGGGTCGGCAGCACTACTCGTTACCTCTACGCCACCAGAGCTCCCTGTAGGTGCTGGTGTGCTTCCTGCAGTGCTGCTGTTTCTAAGCAGCACAACAGAGCTTCTGCCCCTCCTTTCAGCCTCCTTCAGCCTTGTCCCCTGCCCCTGGCTACCTGAGCCAAACACGTTGTTGAACTTAGAAGTGTGCAAGACAGCAGACTCTGCACAGGCTGCGTCAGGAGAAGCTTCAGGCACCTGCTGCTGCCTCTTCCCTCGACTGCTCACCTGGTCCCTTCATTTTAAAAAGCCAAGACTTGTCACAGCTCCCCACTTCCTGCACCATCCTTGATATAATTGTCACATAAACTGCTGATGGCATTATCTTGAATGCTGTACTTTGTGACTGTTGTTGCTGGGAGCAGTTGAGTCACTTCTCAATTCTTAGTGATGCCAGGAAACAGGGTTGAGATGCCATAATCCAGGGTTGAAATGCCCTGTAGGTTTTTCTAGTCATTATAAGAGCAGATCCCAGGTCTTTCTGTCATGAAGCTGCTGAGTGAATGTTAGCTTCATCCTTCAGTTAATATTTATGTCTCCAGGTTTGTTAGTTTATTTCTATGACTCTTAAAATATTGATCTATAACAAGTGTAGTTAATCACGATCAATGGTGAAGAGATTGAGATTGTTGACAGCTTCAGTTTGCTTGGCTTCACAATAAACAGCCTTGGTATAAGCAGCCAAAAAATTAAAAGACAAATTGTATTGGCAAAGTCTGGGTTACTGTGATGCTGAACCTTGTACCACTGGGGTATCAAATACCAGAATGGCTTTCCAGTGTGAACAGTGTTTGGTGAAGCTCCCAGGTGTAAAATGGGTTTGGAAGCAGGAGTGGCATCCACTTCCTAAACCACATGCCTCTGGAAACTCTATGAACCCGGAGAAATGATGACAGTTACGGAAAGGCATTAGGTCATTTGTTCATAGAGTTGCTATGAGTCATGCTTGACTTGACAGCAATCAACAACAACAACAACAACATGACAGCATACAGCTGCTGCCCCATAGGGTTCCTAAGACCGTCATCTTTACGGGATCAGGCTGTTTCATCGTCTCCGCTGGAGCAGCTGATGTGTTCAAACTGCTGACCCTTCAGTTAGCAGCTCAGTACTTAACTGTCAAGGCTGATTCTCCAGAGATGCAACGAAGACAAGGTCTAGTCTTACCAGCAGCTCCAGCCTGCATTCTGGTCCTGGTTTTATATCTCCAGGGTACTTTTTGTTGTCTTTAGGGATATCCTAAGCTAAAAGAATACCAGCTAAAATAAAAATAAGTCCTTTAATAAAAGGAAAGAAAAATGCTTCACTAAGTTTTGGGTGTATGTGGCGGAGAAAGGGATGTTGACAGGAGGGATGCAGGTAAGAGAGTCATTGTTGAACTTGTTACTGGCAGTGAGGTCAGAGGTAGCGCCCATTTGTGTGTTTTCATGGTGTTGTCCTTGAGATGAGAGACTCCTATTATCTACAGTTTACACAAAGATGAACAATTTACAGACCTTCTAGCATGGTTTTTGATGATAGACCTGTGGTGGGCATTTTTTTTCCTTCAGTGTATATGCGATAGGAATTGTGTCTTGTTCACCAGTCTCTCAAGCACTCCACAATTAGTGTAATCCATGGCACACAGTACATGACACTTGATGTAGAATTAAGAAGGGGACAAGTGGGTACAGGAAAAGGAAAAAGGACAAGGAGAATATTGACATTGCTCTTTGAGCAGGGAAGCTTTTTGAATGCATCTCTATTGCTTTTAGCTTCTTAAACAACCAATGAAACATCTCCAGTGGGACATAACTCAGTTTTGTTTTATCCAGAGGCAATAAAAAAAATTGATAATGATTTTCCAGAGTCACGCTGACAAATACAGGGTTAGGACCTTTTTGGGAACTCAGTTGCACCCATCATAGCTGGTGGTCTTTCATTGCTCTGCAGGTTGTGAACGTCGAAGGTGGCATCTCCTTCCTTGATGCTGTCACGTCCATGGATTACTTCCCGGGACTCAATCTGGAAGGCTACCCCAACAGAGACAGCACCAAGTACGCCGACATCTATGGCATTTCGTCCGCACACACTTTGCTGCGGGGGACACTGAGATACAAGGTGAGGAGCTGTGCTTTGGGACGTTGTTTTGCCTGCTTTGATGTAAGTGATACCTACACTGACGTTTTTAGTTTGTGGTGTTTTTGGGTTCCCCCCCCCCTTCATTATAGTCTACCTGGTTAGTGCCTGCTTTTTTCAGGACATTTTTGATTGGCTGTGTTAGAGGCACAAAAGAACAAGCAAAAAGGAGTTAACTCATGAGGAATAAGGGGAGGGTAGAGGCACAGCTGTGGGTTTACTGGAGTTTGGGGACAAGTGACCTCACCAGAAAACAGTCTGATTGAACACCCGTTGATCAACCAGCTGTTAACCAAAAGGTCAGAGGTTAGAGCCCATCGATTAATTTCAAGGGAGAAAGATGTGACTGTTTGCATCTGTGAAGGTTACAGCCTTGGATCACCTCTGTTGTTGTTGTTTTGTACCGAGTTGTCTGTGACTCCTAGTGACCCTGCGTACAACAGCTCTGAACACTGTCCTGTCTCCTGAGCCAGTCTCACTCTCTCCAACACACCTATCCCTATGACTCCAGTTACTGAGGCATCAATCTCATCTGGGGTCTTTGTCTCCTGTGCTGTCTCGCCACCCTTCCAAGCATGATGTCCTTTTTCAAGGACAGGTCCCTCCGGGCAACATGTCTGGAGTATGTGAGATTGAGCTTTTAAAAAATTTATTTCCACGAGGTGACGAGCAGATTCTAGGAGCATAGACAGCAAATGCCTTTGCATATCCATCAGTCGTAGAAGAGCATTTGCATTGGGACCAGGTCAAGAACACCAGCATACGGGTGGGGCGGGAAGCATACAGAAAAAAACCCCAGCAAACAGAAAATGCAGGAAACAGTGATTTTTGGATTTCAGATCTCTGCCTTGTGAGGTTGCCTGGCCAGGGCCAGAGATGGCATTTGTTCACCTTGTGTGTGTGACTCGGCTCCCTCGCACCCCGAGCTGCTTTCTGGAAGCTGGAAGGCTCACAGGCCTCTTCATGATAACCCCTGAGTTCTCCTGGGGGCTTTCTCCTTGCTCTGCCCTCTTCACTCGCTGCTCCTTCCACCTGCACGTTTCTCCGGCTACATGTCTGCACCTCTCGCTTCAGCCTCCTTCTGGCCTTTGTTTTCAGTGAGGCCTCCCAAACCATGATATTTAAATACAAAGCTGTTGGTGTTGGCTCAGTTTGCCCCCATCTCGTGAGCCGAGACACTGTTACTATTGCACTGTCCTCGAGATTGGTTATAGAAGGGACCCTTGTTGCCATGGGGTTGTTGTAGCCAGCCAGCCCTTTCTTCCTAACTACATTGTGTAGCCCTCCCAGTGTTTCTGCCTGATTTGCTTATAGGAAAGCATGCTGCTGTGGCCCTTCAGTAATTGTTCAGAATCCATTCACCTAGTCATTCATTCTCTATCAGTCCTGGTATGCTGATTGGGCGAGGGGGAAAGCAGATAAACGCCTGGCTGTACATTTCTCTGCGTTGTATACCTACAGTCAGGGCAGCTGAAAGCACAAATAATTAAGACTTGATGTTAGAGGTGAGGGGGAAAACCCATCCAGGCCTTTTGGCCTTGAGCCAGTTCTTAGAGTCATGCAATGATAAATTATTCATCCGTTAACTGAAAGGTTGATGGTTTGAACCTTTCAGCCACAGAACATCAATTTGGCAGCAATAAAGAGTCCGTGAAGATTGCAGCCTGTGAGGCAGTCCTGCTCTGTGCTGGAGGCTTGTAAGTGGTCGAGGTGTGTAGAAAGTGCTGCCAGAAATGAGGGAGGAAGGGTGTGCCCACTCACCTCAGCACCACTGAAGGCATCCTGTGCTGGGTGTTAATAAAAAGGTAGGCATTTGACAAGTGAAGAGTGGCCAACCATCTCCAGCTCAGGGCAATCTGTACAGAGAGAGGTTCAAGTCTGTGGAAGAGCCCAGCATGCTGGAGGTATCGAGAGGGGAGACAACAGTGATTGGTGAGGCCGCTGGTGGTGGTGGTAACTTGAGCAGATTCTGAGGGGCTTTAGGTAATAGACCAAGGACCTCATTTTCCTGTAAGCAGGGAGGATGCTGGAGAAGTTTGTATCCAGGGAGACACATATTCATATCTATGTTTTAGAAAAAATATCTTTGATTCCTTCTTCTTCCCTTTATGAAGTCTCCCGCTAAGGAACACGCAGTTAGCCAGCTGGTTGATGTTCACCCTCAAATCAGAACTTACCCATAGCTGACCCTCCAGCGTGTTTTTAGCAGTTGATTGCACGGGAAGAGCTTGCTCATCCTTCTCCCATGGAGCAGCTGATAGATTTGAACTGCGTGCCTTTGGGATTGCAGCACAGCTTCTTACCTAGTGACCACCAGAGCTCCCAGAAGGCTAGAGGAGCCCTTTTAGAAGAAAGGTCCAACAATCTGTTTGTTTTCGTTTTAAAAAAAAGCCATAGAAAACCCCATGAGGCAGAGTTCCCTGATACACACAAAGTCAACCTGATACAGAATCAGTTTGATAGAACTTCATTATTATTTTAATACAGATTAGGGCAGTGACTTCCCTGCTTTTGAAAGTTATTGTTGTAAGTATGCTTTTTCCATTGTAAGAGAGCTTCTAATAGTAGACAGGATTGTACTAGCAATGATAGCACATAACACATTAAGAAATCTTCATTTCTAATGCCAGAAAACCCGATTCACCTGTTGTTGTTAGGTGCCATTAAGTTGAGCACAACTCATAGCGACCCTATGAACAAAAGCTTTGAACCCTGTTCTGTCCTGCGCTATCCTCACACTTCCAGACACCCAAGAGTCCATTGCAGCTGCCACCATATCAGTCCACCTGGTTGAGTATCTTCCTCTCCTCTGCCGACCCTCCACCCTCCCCAACATCATGTCCCTCTCCAAGGAATAGCACCTCCTAGCAACATGTCCAAAGTATATGAGGCAAAGCCTCATCATTCTTGCCTCCAAAGAGAATTCCAACTGCACCCTCTCCAAGACATATAAGTTTGTTCTCTTGGCGATCCATGGGCCGTTTAGTACTCTTCTCCAACATCACAGCTCAAAGGCATCATTTCTTTTTCTGTCATCCTTATTGTTCAGATCTCAGATGCATAGCTAGTAATAGGAAAGATTGTGGCCTGAATCAGATACACCTTAGTCCTCAAACTGACATCGCTACTACTCAATAATTTAGAAAGATCCCTAACTACAGGTTTTCCGCATTGCAGTGCATCTGCTTATTTCCTGACTGCTCGTACCAAGAGTATTAGTTGTGGATCCAAGCAAGATGAAGCTGTTGACTGTTTCAGTCTCCCATCCATTCATTCACATGTTACTTAGAGCAAAACCCCTCACAACAAAAGACAAGTTCAGATTTTGCTGGGCCTCTTTTGTAATCCAGACAGCTCTGATGGCCTAGTGGTAAGGAGCTGCACTGCCATCTTGAAGGCACATAGTTCAAACCCGTCAGTGACTCCAAAGAAAAAAGATGGGCAGTCTCTTTCCACATGATTAAACTGTCTCTGAAAACCCACTCAAGGGTCAACACTGGGTCAGTTCCAATTTGACGGTACACCAGAACAACCACAACAATTTATATAGTCTAATGCAATTGTCTAACACTTTTGATTGCAATTTAAGTCTGAATGTGGTTGCATCCATACCAACAATACAGAGGACTTATTTTGAGTCTATTTTCTAAATTATTTATAGAGCTATAACTCTCTTTCTGAAAAAAACTTTTAATTTTTTTTCTTAAAAAAGGTAAATTTCACATTCTGCTTATTTGTTAATCTTTGTTTCAGGGATATGCCAAAGCTTTGAATGGCTTAGTAAAACTGGGTCTCATAAACAGAGATGCGTTTCCTGCCCTTCGACCCGAGGCCAGCCCCCTCACGTGGGTGAGTGATTAGACAATTGCGTGCTGTCTGCTGCTGTCCAGAAATGCCTTGTGAATGCCAAGGGCTTCATTCTGCTTTGGTCCTACAAAAAATCCCACTTCTGTGCAGGAAAATAAACACCAGTCACAATATCTCTATCATGAGAGGGTTGAGTGGGCATAATAGAGACTGACTTCCCAGGCCTGTATATTGCAGCCACTTCTGTCAGGTGCTTGCCCCTCAGCCGTGGGTATCAGATGCCTTTTTCTCCACATTTATCTCTCCTGGTTGGGCCTACTCATTGCCCAAGTGATGAGTCAGGAGAGGAGTGAAGATGGGACCTCCTGAAGGTGACAATGCAGGAAGAATGTTGGTACATCACAAAACTGAATTCCTAACCCCCCTAAATTATCAGTTCTTTCATTTAACCAGTTCTAATCTAAAGGAATTTGTACTTATGACTCATAACTTTGCTATGACAAAATCTTGGAATCTTAGGTTTGCAAAGGACTTTTTTTTTTTTTTTTAGGACTTTTTGAAGTTTGGAACTAAATGTAAATAAATGTAGAGCTTTATTAACCAGCCAAGAATTAACTTGTTCCTAGGGGCTCTGTCATTCAACTTGAACAGTTACTCAAGAACTGTCAGAATGGAGCACAAGGAATAAATAAGGCCATTAAAAAAAATTTACTATTTTTTCTAATTCACTTGTTGAATATTTTCTCTACCCTACCCTCCCCCAACCTACCCCTCAATGCACCCCTTGTTCCAGATTGTTCTCACACATGTAATGCATAATCATACATTCTTTTGGACAGTTCTTCCCCTCACAAGGGCCAATATTTAATCTTATTATATCTTTCAAATAAATATTGGTATTCTTGCTAACTAGTTGACTTAAGTTCTGTTTTCTGTATATCTGAAAGTTCTTCCAATCTTTATATGAGTTTTCATAATTTTCCTTGTTAGTAGTGGATGGTTGTAGAATGGAAGCAGAGTTGAAGCAGTTAGACTGGGAAAACTGGGGAGGCATTCTTGGAGGTGTCCCCATGTCCTGGTGGCCACCATGGAGAACAGGGATCAGCAAAGTTTTGAAAAAGGACCAAATTGTGACTGTTCTTGGCTTTATAAGCCATGCAATCTTTGTCACAATCTTCACCTTGCCATTCTAGCTTAAAAACAGCCAAAGATAAACCATAAACAAAGGAGCATGGCTGAGTTCCAATAAAACTTTATTTAAAAAAAAACAAGCAGTGAGACAGATGAGGACTGTGGACCTTGGTTTAAAATGTTAACTTTTTCCACAGGAACTTGGAAAAAGTCTTATTTGGAAAATAGGAAAAAATCTTCACCTAATCTACTTTTTCAGTGTTTTTCTTTTGATATTTTTATTATCTGCAAGGCTGATTTTATCTCTTGGACCTACAAAAGAACTCTGGTTGCTAATAGCAACCAGAGCACTAAGCCCCTTTCACTTTAGATAGACCAAAATGGAATGCTGGGAGGTGGAGGAGAATGGGTGAGAGAGAAATGATGGGAAGGGCATACAAAGCAGGGAAGCTTGCTGGTCAGTGTGGTAGCATTCTGTTTAGCATTGAGCTGATGCTGTGACTCATTTCTGTGCTGCAACATCCTTCTGAACTACCATGCGTTTATTGGTGGGTGTGTGCATGCACATGTATGTATAACTGCTATCATTTTCCATTTCTAATTTGAAATGTATTTGAGCTTTCACATTGTAATTGAGATATTTCTAAATTAAATTTTTTTTTGCACTTACAATTTTTATCCTTTTTTTAACCAGAAAGAACTCCTCTGTGACCTTGTTGGTATTTCACCCTCCTCCAAGAGTGATGTGCTCAAGGAAGCTGTTTTTAAAAAATTAGGAGGAGACCATGACCAGCTAGAGGCTGCAGAGGGGTAAGAGCCCATGTAGAGCAACAACAATGTAGAACTAAACAAACGCATATTATATAAGAAACTAACATATAGTAATGATGATTTAGTACTTTCTAGTCAAGGAAAAACCTAAGTAAGAATATTTAAAATTTCCCTTCCGTGAATTTACTGTTCTATTGCTGATCTGTTTGGAGAGATTACCCTGTGTCATACTCGTCTGGAGGTAAGAAACAGATAAAGAGAAGATGTCAATGATAATTATAATTTGTTGTTGTTGTTGTTACATGCCGTCGAGTCGTTTGCGACTCATAGCGACCCTATGTACAACAGTCCTAAACCCTGCTCTATCCTGTGCCAATCGCATTGCCTCTGACACACCCATCCTGATTATCCCAGTCACTGAATCAATCCACCTCATAGAGGGTCTTCCCCTCCTGCGCTGTCCCTCTACCCTACCAAGCATGATGTCCCTCTCCAAGGACCTGTCTCTCCTTACAACATGTCCAGAGTATGTCAGACGAAGCCACAGAATCCTTGCCTCCAAGGAGTAGCCTGGTTTAACCCTCTCTAGGATGAATTAGGAATTAATAAAAAGAGAGGCTATTTTTGATTCTTTAAAGGAGATTCTTTGAGCCCTGGTAGCATAGTGGTTTGGTTTGTGCTGGGCTGTGAATCAACATGTCAGTGGTTTAAAACCATCGGCCACTCAATGGGAGAGATAGACAGCTTCCATAAAAATTCAAAAAGTCAAACTCCTTGCTGTCAAGTTGGAACCAATTCATAGGTGGCCCTCTGGACGGTTTCAGAAGCTGAAAATCGCGCAGGAGAATATTACTCATCTTTGTCTCGAAGAGCCGCTGGTGAATTTGAACTATGAGAGAGGCACCACTTTTGGCTGAGAAGCACAACTCCTCCTCGATTAGGCCCCTAAAAGCTGTGCCCATGAAACCTGACAGGGTGGTTCTGCTCCCTCCTCTAGGCTTGCTCGGAGTGGCAACAGTGATAACGGATTGGGGAATTTCATTACAGGAGATTGAGGAGGAGTCAGATGTGTAAATGTTTAATAACTATACCATCAACCAAGAGGTAGAGGTGCCTGGGAAGTACGGCCTGATCAGCCACTTCCTCTGGGCCAGGGCCTTGAAAAGCCCGTGACAGGCAGCTCTGTTCTGCACACCTGTGATTTGGAATTGACCCCACAGCTATTGGCAGCACAGGGGCTTCTCTGAGTCTTCCCTAAATGCTTTTAAAACATGGCCTGGAAAAGCCATTGGCACAAACATGGTTCACTGTGTTGACATCTGCTGTGTGAATTCCAGCTGCAGATTAATCTCACATAAGCCTTTGCAACAACCTCCCGTTCAGACTCTCAAGTCTACTTCAGACACCATTGCCTATGGGAGGTCTGGAATATTCCAAGGGGTGAAGAGTTACTGTTGTTCTTGTTACTGTACAATCATTGAAAGTCCTACAACCTAGACTACCATCATCTTGTGATTCTGCTCCTTGAGGCTAAAACCCAAGGAGCGCCTCACCGCTTCCCGGGTGAGGTGCTGCGGGGCTCGACCTCATGCAGCATCTGCTGTACTTCTCAGGCTGGGCTTACTGGGAGCCGAACAAGTCCCTCGGGCAGACTCCATTGTAGACGCACTCTCCAAGCACTTGGCCACAAAGCTCTCCTACGGTAAGTCACGGGCACCAGATAAACATCCCTAAGGAAGAACCAGGAGGTGCAATCTGTGCTAGCTACTTGAGGATTATGTTGAAAGGCTGAGATAAATGAATAGGACTGGGGAGGTGTTGTATATGGAGAAGCACAATTGGATTCTTTTTCCAGAGGCAATAATACAAGAATTAATAATTCAGAATGAACTTGGGTGATGCAAGAAAGAAAAAGAGAACATTGATTTTGTTTCAGGTTTTTAATGCTGTAGGGAAATGCAGAGACATTTCAGGGAGCAGGAGTGTGTGGCCTTTGCAGCAGGGTCCTAGCAACAGTAATGGACAAGTCTGGACAAGGAGAAATGTGACCCGAGTTCCCATCTGCTCGAGTTTCTCACTTGGTCCTTGGCTACCAAGCAAGATAGACAGCTGCCAGAGGACCATGTCTAATGAGAAGGAACTCTGCAGGAGAAAGGGGCAGGTGGAAATCAAACTCCAAACTCAAGTGGTAATGCAAGTGGTTTTTTAAAATGCTCGCTTATTTATCTGAAGGTCCTGGAGAAAGAGACATGATTGTGATGAGAGACAGCTTTGGAATCAGACATCCTTCAGGACATCTAGAAAACAAGACTGTGGATCTGGTGGTTTATGGGGACATCAATGGCTTTTCGGCCATGGCAAAAACTGTGGGGCTACCCACAGCCATGGCGGCCAAGATGCTGCTTGATGGTAAGTACTGGTCATCGGGGATCTGAGTCCCTCTCCATAGCACCTTCTGGTCATTCAGTGCCTGAACATCAAATAAATACTATGGAACAGAACACTGATGATATTCACTAGAAGTGATGTTCTGTCTCCGAGGACCCACGTGTTGGGAGTTCGCTGTATGGTGAGTAAGGAATGTGGACTTGGGTGATGGGTCCGACTTCATTAATAGCTCAGCTACCAACTCAGGTTTGTCCTGGAGAGGGTGAAGCCAGAACGCTCCTTGGAGTCAAGGCTTCTGAAGCTTCATCTGACATACTTTGGACATATTGCAAGGAGGGACTGGTCCTTGGAGAGGGATGTCATGCTTGGGAGGGTGAAGGGACGGCACAGGAGAGGAAGATCCTCTATGAGATGGATCGATTCTGTGACTGGGGTGGTAGGAATGAGTGTGTTTGAGACGGCGAGGTTGGCACAGGATAGAATGGCGTTTAGGGCTCTTGTACATAGGGTCGCTATGAGTCACAAGCGAATCGATGGCACATAACAACAACCAACTAACTCACCGAGTGATAGGGTACAAGTTAGTCAAGCTAGAATCGCTGAGCCCATTTCCTGATGTTTCTAGCGAATCATTTCAACCCTCATCCACTCTGCCATGGTGAAGCTTAAGCAGGATAAGGCATCTACTCCTTCCTCTGCAGAGTGACCCCATTCTTGCTTATTTTTTGCTATTTTGTTGGCATCTTGTTGTTGTTGTTGTTGGGTGCTGCAGTTGGGACTGACCCAGGTTTTCAGGGCCAGAAGATCACATGGGAGGGCAGTCATTCATCTCCCAGAGCAGCTGGTGGATTCAAACCACATGTCTTTGGGATTGCAGTGCCGCTTCTTAACACTAGGCCACCAGAGCTCCCTAGTCATTTTTACACAGCAGCATATACTCACAGATACTTTTCAACAATATGCACCAGATTTTACTAATCTTCATCCCCCACCCTGGTATTTCTGATCCAGAAAACTTTCAGACTCAGTTCAAACTTCAGCTCTCCCTTCTCCTGTTTAGATGGCCTATATCTTCAGTAAGCAGTACCTGTGAATACAAGGTACCATTGGGTTCTTGTGATAGAGCAAGAAGAAACCAGAAAACATGAACGCCTGGGAAAAAGAAATTAGAAAATGTATCTACCATACTGTTATATGTTGACATTTGACAAGTGAAACTGCCTCTATAGTTTGACTAAAGAAATTTATTTAAACTTTTTTAGAACAAAAAATGGTGACATGGCATGAGGTCATACAGCCTGGAAGGGCAGCACTCAGACTTATGGTCTCAGTTATAAGCCCCATCCAATGCCAGCACCTATATAACTGTTTTGACGTTGATGAATTCTGTTAGTGCTGTTACATTTAAAAAAAAAATTATATCCGCAATGAAGCTGACAGTTTACTTTCAGGTCCTGTTGGCGGTAGTCAATGCAGTTATGTGTCCACATTTTGTCACTCACTCCAGCGGTGCTTCTGATGGAAAATGAATCCCTTTTGGTTCAGAGTGCTGATTAAGTCACAATGTAGCAGGAGCCATGGGAGAAGCTATTTTTATTTTTTTTAATTTTTTAAATTAAATTTTATTAGTTTTAATGAACATTTACAGGGATTTGGGGTTTTCATTCCTTCATTGCTGCACCATTCTCTCTACCCTCCTCCCCAGTTTGTTCTTCTTCCCCGCCATCCGAATGTCTATTTTAATTGTCCAATTGCCACAGTGCTTGTCAAAGTCAGTTCTGATTAATCTCCTTTGTCGGTGTGTCCTTTGCCATTCCCTATCACTCCTCCCTGAGAGAGACTTCACCCTGATTCATAAGGAAAAGGGGATGGCGTATTCTCTTAGAGAAGCTATTTTTAAATGCCTGGGTCTCCAGCAAGTCACTGACTCCAGGTTTATTACTAGGGTGATGCCCTCCATGTGGAAACTTTTGCTGTGGAAGGGAACTTGTACGATCACCTTGAAAGTGGTAATTATGAACTTGCTTTCTTTTAGGTGATATTCAAGCCAAAGGCCTGATAGGCCCCTTTTCCAAGGCGATCTATGAACCAATCCTGGAGCGCATTAAAGCAGAAGGCATAATATATACCACGCAGAGCGTGATCAGACCGTGAGGGGACATCCTGTTTTTCACACAGGCAACACGGCTCTCAACATTCGTGTGGTTAACATGCTTACTAATGTCCTGGTTAAAAGTAGAAAGCACGAGATATTCTGATTAAGACATTACAATGGTGTTTTTACGATAGACATTATGTTTTATTCTGAAAACATTTGTAGCAAGGAGATGCTAATAATAGATAACTTTTAAGAATTCAACTATGTATTCCCCCCCATGTATATAAAAGTCATGATGATTGTGCAAATTGCTAATTTATTGTGCCACTGTTTTTCTCTTAAGCGTCTTTGTAATCAACAGATCATGTTTACCTATCTATCCAGAAAAATTTCTTCATGCAGCTGTATTTTTATATTTTTTTTCAATTGGATTCTGTTTGATATCTTTAGTTTACAGGTTTTGCAATAGTGCTATTTTATTTTGTAAAAATTATGACTTATCTAGTAAATATCACTCTTTGTAGTTTTCTCATGAGTGTTTGGAAAAGGGAATAGATAAAATTACATGGCACAACACACACCCATCACAAAAGAGATACAGATAAAGCCCTTGGTGGATTCAGCATCTCTAAGTGGCATAGTATGTTATGTATTGGGCTTCTCGCCATAAGGTCAGTGTTTTTGATCCACCAGCTGCTCCTTGAAAGAATGATCTCATGTAATCCTTCCGCCTCTTTCTTGTGTGTACCATCGAATCATATCCGACTGGCACAGGAGGAGATTGCCCCTCCTCCTTCAACAGAGCATCTCGTGGATTCGAACCGTACACTTTCGGGTTTGCAGTGCAGCTTCTTGCCCCTAAAGTCACCAGAGCTCCCTTTTGCAATCTTAAAGATTTTCAGCCTCTGAAACTTGATGGATGGTAGCCATGAATTGGAGCCAACTTGGTGGCAGGGAATTTTATTCATGATACAAGTTGTCCCACGTGAATGGTTAAGTACTTGGCTTCTTACTGAGAGGTTGGTGGATTGAATCTACCCAGAGGGGGCCTCAGGAACAGCCCTAATGAACTGAAAGATCACAGCCATTTAAAACCATGTGGCTCAGTTCTGTTCTGAAATGCACGGGATTACCATGCATCTGAGCCAACTAGATGTCACTTGGTTTGATTTGATTTTGACAGGAGCACTGCACAAACCAGGTGTGGAAAGAAACTGCCTCAGCTTCATAAAAAAGGGCTGTAAGAAATTTATAGCTAGCATCGTACTTAATGGTAAATAACTCTTTTAACCTGTGGGTAAAAGATCCCATAGCCGTATCTTTAAAGAAAATACGTAAATCACCGATAAGCACACAAAAAGGCTCTCAATATCATTAACCGTCAGGGAAAAGCAAGTCAAACCCTCTGTGAGAATCTACTTCGTGCCAGCCAAGGTGGGCATATGAAAAAAGATGCGGACAAACATTGCTGCTATCTTTGGGAACCATGGGGAGAAGCTGGGAATGGTGAGGAGAAATTGGGATGCTCATCTCCTGCTGATGAGAACGTAAAAGGTTAAACAGCTGTTTTGGAAAGCAGTCTAGCAATTTGTCTTAAGGTCAAACATAAACAGATCATGTAACTCAGCAATTGTGCTCCTAGGTATAAAGTGCAAGAATATTAAAAATACATGTTCACACAATGACTTCTACACAAATATTCATAGCCGCATATATATGTAATAGCTAAAAATGGAAACTATTCAGATGGCTGTATGCTAATAAGTGGATAACAAAAGATGGTACCGCTATATCATGGAATGTTATTTGACAGTTAAAACAGAAATGAGGTGATATATGCTCCAGCATAAATGAACCTCCCACCATTACACTATGAGGAAAAGAAACAATAACCACTTCTCAAGAAAGACCACGTACTGTCTGATCTCTTCTCTGAAGTGCCCTAAGGCAGATTTCTAGAGACTGGTTGTCTAGGACTGGAGGGGTGGGGCAAATGAGGCGTGACTACCAGGCATGGGGCATCTTTGTGTGTCCATAGCAATATTTTAGAGTTGACTGGTGATAGTGGCACAATTTTGTGAATATACCAGAAACCTTTGAATTGTATACTGTAAATGTTTGAATTACCTGATATGTGAACTCTATCTCAAGTTGTTATAAAAATGATTAACTTACAATTACAATTTGTTGGGATTTTTTTTCCTTCCGTGGGAATGGCCAGGGAGCAACATTTTGCTTTATAGATACACATCCATTAAGGACAAGATAATACAGGATTGTCTCTTGGGTTGTACTCGACTCAATGGCACTCAGCTGTAACAAAACAAAAAACACATGCCAGTCCTGGTGTCTTATGATGGGTGAGAACCCAGAGCAGCAAAATCAGAATGTAAGAGGAAGAGAGTGAGGGCCAATCAGGAAAATAAATGCTACATTTCACTGGGTGAACCTGCTGCAAAAGAGCACTTTAAAAGATTAAAAAGTAAACATGTGTCTTTGAGGGCTAGGATGTGTCTGACTCAAGTCATGGTATTTTCACTCACCTCATAAGCACATAAAAGCTGGACAATGAGGAAAGACCAAAGAATAGACGCCTTCAAATTACGGTGTTGGTGAAGAATATTGGCTATACCAGGGACTGCCCGAAGAATGAAGAAATCAGGAAGGAAGTATAGTTGGAATGTTCCCTAGAAGCAAGAATTTTGACACTTGTTTTAAATTACTCTGGACACATTATCAAGAGATACCAGTCCTTAGAGAAGGACCTCTTGCTTGTTAAAGGAGAAGGTCCACGAAAAAGAGGACCCCTCGGTGAGATGGATTGAGACAGTGGCTGCGTAATTGGCTCAAGTGTAACATTGATTGTGAAGTCCGTCCAGGTGTGGGCAGTGTTTGTTCTGTTGTACATCAGGTAACTGTGAATTGGATCCAACTCATGACATCTAAAACCCACATGACTTACTATTGAAATTCGATAGTTGTTTGAAGACAACCAAAATTCTTGATAAAATTCCAAGGTATCTGACTTTTCAGACATCTCGAGGGTAGCCATATAATTCCTTTATGAGAATTAAAGAAAGGAATTGGTTCTTAGAAACACTAGTTTAAAAAGTCCCTGCAAACATGTAATTAGACCCAAATGACCCAAAATTTGTTACCAACTTTCAGTGGAAAATTGTCATGATATATATGTAAATCTTTAATCTGCAGGCAGTGATTAACATCGGCTTAAATACAGTGCATGGTTTGCCTTGTCACACAAAATCTTAGTCTTCCTCTTCTATGCTATATTCTTTTTCTTGCATTTCTGGGTGGCACGAGTGGTTGCACTCAACTACTAGCCATGAGTCTGGAAGTTCAAACCCACCCAGAGGTGCCTCAGAAGCAGATTTGAAAAGCTGGCTTGAAAACCATATGTAATGCAGGTCTGTTCTGCATACATAGGGTTACCACGAGTCAACATTAACCACGGCTTTTTTTTTAAAAAATTAATTTTAATGAAAGTTTACAAAGACTTAGGGTTTCCAGTTATTCATTGTTGCACTTTTCTCCCTGCCCACCCCTACCCCCCAAATCCACTCTTCTCCTTGAAAAGAAAAACTCTTTCATTGTTATGCAGTCCCTCCCTTCAAGTCCACTCCACTGTACAGCCTTCACTCTGGACTTCTGTAATGACAAGAATACCCATTCATATATCCCTTTTAAACAGTTCTCTCCCTCATCTGTTTCAATGCAATATACATCATTCCTCCCCTCCTTTTCTGTCTTTCCTCAATCCTGATGTCAATCCTGTTTTACAAGTGGCCCTATATGATATTTGTCCTTTTGTGACTGAGATATTTCACTCAGCATAATGTCCTCCAGGGTCATCCATTTTGCATTAATATTTCATGAGTTCCTTATTTTTCAATGCTGCATAGTATTCCATTGTGTGACTATACCAGAGCGTCTCTATCCATTCGTTTGTTGATGGGCACTTGGGTTGTTACCAACTCTTTGCTACTGTGAACAAAGCCGCGATAAACATGGGTGTGCATTAATCACGGCTTTTCTAATGGCTTACATCTGTTGACTTTTTGCTGTGAATCGACATTTACGTCAGCTGAACTCCGCTGGCAGAATCCCTGAGGAGTGGCATTACTAACCCTCAGGTGCAACCTTTCTGGTGGTTTCAATCCACCAGTGTCTCCAAGAGAGAAAGCTGAGCAGTCTCCTTTTGTATGGTTTACAGAACTCACTAGAGGGTCCGCTGAGTTGGGTCAACTCAAAGACAATGATGAGTGTGTGAGTGAACCCCTTTGGGAAGATTCCAGGGGAAAATGAACTTTTCTAGAACAGTACTTGTTAATCAAGCTCACTGTCTTCGAGACAGCTCTGACTCTTGGTTCCCCTCCATCAGGTTTCCAAGGCTGTAAATCTCATGAGAGGTGACTACTCATCCTCCATGAGAGGCCCAGGTGGATTTGAACCAGCGGAATCGTGCGGTCTTTTAACACTACGAACTATTCCACCAGAGCTGCATACCTAGCAGCTAATATAGTAACTTCCTTTTTTCCCCCCATTTTGATTTTCCCCATAATAAGATTCTCACCACTGGGCCAATTGGCAGCACCATATTAGATGGAGAAGAGATTGAGGTTGTTAGCAATTACACCTTGCTCAGATCCACAATCAACACTCTTAACACCAGCAGTCAGGAAATCAGAAGATGAATTGCATTGGGAAAATCTGCTGTCATGGACTTCTCCAGAGCGCTGAAGAGCAACGACGTCAGTCTAGATACAGAGGTGCGCCTAATCCAGGCCGTGGTCTTCTCAATTACTTGTTATGCTTCAGAGAGTTGGACAATGACTAAAGATGACAATATGAATAGATTCCTTCGAGTTGTGGTGCTGGAGAAGAGTCTTGAACATACCATGGACTACTAAGAAAACAAATAGGTCTGTCTTCAAGAGGATGAAGCCAAATCTTTCCTTGGAGGCTAGGATTTTGAAGTTCTGCCTCACTTTGGGCACGTGGCCAGGAGAGATTGGTCGTTGGAGAAGGACATTATGCT